ATAAACATGAGAGATTTGCATCAGTTGAACCAGATTGACAATTTTCAATATTTAGACAATGGATTTTTTTTCAGGAGAAAAAAAAACATTCAAAATGCATCATCATCATAATCATGGCATAAACATTATGGAGAATATCAATATAATAGTAATTTGGCAATCAAATTAATTTATTTCCATTTAAAAAAAATATAATGTTCCAAAATGAATTTTTGAAAATTCAAGAAAATGTTTTTTTTTTAAATGAGATTCCATCAATTTGCAAATATAAAATCGTTGTTCATCTAAGATTCATGATGAAACTGATGTTTCCGGATGGAATTCGGGGAGGGAGCAAAAAAATCTTTATTATGAGAAGAAATTTTTGTTTTGGCCCTTTTTATCATTTTAATTCTTAAAGTTTGTGCTTTTCTGTATTTTTTTCGAATTTTTTTTCATTTTGAATGCGTTCATTCAAACTGTTGGATAATAATAATAATAATAATAATAATGACAGAGCAAAAAAAAAGAAGACGAATGGACCGAAATCATTCTGGTTTCACTAATTTTTTTTCTTTCGTATTCTTTTAGTTCTGTTAGTGGATAGAATTTAGACAACGAATCGAGCAAGACAAATCGTCTTTTGAAATTCTTATTCTTGTTCTTTTTTCTCATTATTGTTAGTAGTTATCACTGACAAATTCTGACAAGTTTTTTTTTCTTTAGATTTTTTTTATGTTCACATTCTTGATTTGTGATTTCGTTACAAATGTTTCAGACAGACAATGTAGAAGAGAAACAAAACAAAAAAAAATTTGATTTGAAATACATTTACGATTGGTTATCAAAAAAAAGAAGACGGAAATGAAGTTTTTTACTGCTAAAAATCAAATTCAATGTAATGGCAAAAAAATAAAAATAAAAATAATTGTACATTTCAATAGACTGTGTATCCGGTTTGAAAATCATTTAACAATTTAATCCATTGTGATTTGTGCATATGATAATAATGACGTTAAATTTCATTTAAATTTTGTTGCTGTTGTTGTTGTTGTTGCTATCTAGAAAATAATAAAATCTAAATCAAAACGACAAAATAATCAATCGATTGGAAGGAACAATAAAAAAAATTGCCATCCGAATGATGTACAATGATCCAGTTAGTAAGTGTATCCATTCAATTTAATGGTAGACATTTCATTGAATTCATTCATTATATGATGACGATGATGATGATGATGAATTTTAACAAAAGAAAAATCATCATCATAATCATTAACCTCTGTGAGTGATGAAAACGACTATTGATTTCTCATTTGAAAAGCTATGATTGTGCAATTTATTGGAATTTTGAATTGTATCAACAACAACAAAAACAAACAAAATTCATCCATTTAAAGTTTGTAATCGAACCAACAAACAAAAAAAAAAAAAAAAAATAAAAATATCAACGATCGTAATCGAATAATAAACATTTAGCACATTTTCAATATTTCGTTATTGTTATTGTTATCGTTATTGTCAAAGGTAAAGCTTTTTTTTTCAGTGGCCCTTTAGCGGAAAAATTTCGTAAAAAGATTTTTATTTTCGTTCACATCAACAATAATCATTATTGAAACTATTATTTTTGATTCGGATGCCTTTGAAAACTTTGAAATGCGAATCGAAACCATAATCATAAAAACAAATAGGTTGTTGAAATACGGTCAATCCACATTCTCGAATGAAATGGAATCGAATCCGAATTCTGATCACGATAGAAAATGACTAAAATCTATAAAGTAAACACTAAACAGCAGTATATAGTCAAACAAAGTTTTTTTTTTTTATTTTATTTTTTTTTTGGTTTTTGCTTTAAGAATTTTGTTTCCATCTTATTTTGCCAATTTGCACATTTGTCGACCATACAAAATTCTGATGAAAAACAATTTCTTAACTTCACATTTGATTATTAATTAATTTTTAATGTTCTCATTGCAATTTAATAATAGATTCTTAAATTCTGGAAAACAATTCTTGAAAACAAACTTTAATGATGATAATGATGGTGATGAGAAAAAACAAGCCATGAAAAAAAAGAATATCGATATGTTGTAAAGCGAAATAGTAATAAAGTAATACGCTTAAAGAGATAAACTTGTACACATAGACATTCTTAAAATGACAACCATGTGAAATGTTTCAAAATCAAGAATATGTATGAAGAAAGAAAAAAAATGAAATGAATCAAATAAATTCTATTTTGTTTTCATATATAAATAATGTAGACAAACCATATACCAATGGACACTAAAGATTCATTCATTGAATGGACTTTAAAACTTTCATTCTATCTTTGTTTTTGGTACTCAACACTCCCCCGCCGAATTCTGGGTTGAAAATGAGAAAATTCTATAAAAATTGTTTTTGTTTCTGAATAGACCATAAGAAAAGATTGGATAAGAAAGAATTTTTAGTCCATACATATATACATACAACAACAACAACAACAACAACAAACCCAAAGAACAAGAAACTTGCTAAAAAGAAAAGAAGTTAAATTAAAAAGTTGTCAGTTCACAGAATGCCAGAACAGAAAAAATTTCGTCATGAAACTTTTTTTTTTTTTTTTAGCAGTTGTGACTTTGTGTTTTTTTTTTTCAAACGCTCGAATAAACCGACCGATGAGAGACAACTTTTTTTCTCACTATTCTTTTGATGAAAATTTATCTGCAGTTGATTGTCGCCATGCTCATGGACCCAACATACACACACACACAACACACACAATGATGATGATCCAATGACCAAAATGTAATTTTTTTTTCATTTCTTTGTTTAAGAAAAAGTTTTTTCTTTATCCACACACACACACACAAACGACCATAGTTATAGTGATAACGGTTATTGATTTTGAGTTTTTTTTCTCTAAAAAAAAATTTTGTAACATTAAACCATTATAAATTGAATGTTTGAAGAGAACTGTGGTCGCTGGATTGATATCAATGGAAATAAAAACAATTCAAACCGAAAATTTTGGAACAAAATATTATAGAAAAAAATTTGTAAGTCAATTTTTTCTTTGAATATAATTTCGCGCACAAAGAACACACACACACACAAAGACAGCAAGACAAAACACCTAATAGAACAAAATAATAGAATTTTTATAAGAATTCAGGAACAACAACAACAACAAAAAAAAATGATTCCAAATGAAAGATAATAACTCCCTCTCCTTCACCCCACAGGCATGAGACTAGAAAAATTTTTATGTTTGGTACAAACTTTTGGCAAGAGAAAAAAAAATATCATCATGGTTTTGGCGTTTGTTTGTTTGTTGTTTGTTCTCGTATAACATCATCATAATCATCATGGATAAAGTTTTTTCCACTGTTCTTTTCAAATCTAACTATTCTCATTTCGACATATTTACATTTTGTCTTTTCATATTTCTTTTTTTTTTTATTCGACCGGCCAAACCAGAATCACAACAATATTCGAAACAACAACAACAAAGAAATGGAACCATTCGAATGGTCACACTCATTTCTCTGTTCTATGCTCATTTTTTTTTTGTTAGTTCTTTCTACAATCTTGTTCCTACAAAAAAAACGAAGAACAGCAAAAGCATGTATTTTAGTGAGTGGTATATCATGTTTTATAATAAAAATGGATCATCATTTCTTTTAGGAAATTCTCTTTTTTCCTCTCTATTTTCAAACAATTTTCAATGTATGTTGTTTGATAATATATGTATGTTATTACAGTAGCTGTCGTCGTCGTCGTTGTCGTTGTCGTTACTTGGCAAAGAAAATCCAAATGAAATGGAATCTCATCAAAAGAAGAAAAAAAATTCCTATCAAAATGTTAAAACCAATAAATAAATAAAAAAAAATTAGGATGGATCAGCAAACATTTTACATATATGAATAGATAAAACAAAACGTTTGTCACGTATTGACAAAAATTTTGAAAAAACAAACAATTCAAATCATCATCTTTTATTGTGGAAACTTTTTCATCAACTCAAACCAGAGAGAAAAAAAATCGCGCTTTCAAACAAACCAAAAATTAAATCGAAAATACGAAATTCGATCCCGATTCTAATTTTATTGCCCACCCTTAATATTTCTTCTATTAGTTAGAAATGAAATTATTTTCAACTTAAGTGGGATTCCTTGTCCAATTCTTACATTTTGTTGTATCGATTTCTTTCTATCTACAATTTCTTTCTTTCTTTATGTCTACTGAGTATGCCACAATTAATTTATATATATATCAAACAATCGACCAAAACCGGATGGACGAACATTTCAATTCGATATTTGTGGATAGTAGTTGTTGTGTTGGTCATCGGGTTGGTGATCGATATAGATTTCATTTTCGAAAATTAATAATATAACAATATTAACAATATAACAAAAAAAAAATAACAACTACTAATAGTGACGGAATTTGTCTTCAAAACAAAATAACAACAAAAACGAAAACAAAGTTGCTTGATAACCAATTTGGGACAAATAACGAAACAAACCAAGACAAAAAAAAATTTGCCCACTCGATCGAATCTTATTCAATGGAAAGGAAAAACAACGAACCAACCAACCAACCATCCAACAAAAAAATAGAAAATTTCATTGCAATTATTAGCTTGGTGATCAAAATTGGCCTGAAACCAACATGCAACACAATAACGAAAGAATAAAATAAAAAAAAAAAAATTTCCCTTGTTGAAGAATGAAGATACGATTCTTGAAATAAACAAGCAAAAAAAACAAAAACAACAACAAAATATACAATGATCGTCAATGGGAAAACAATTAAAGATGACCAAATCATTGGAATCGAATTTTCTTTTCGCTTGAATAAAGCAAACAAATTGTGTAGATAACGAATGAAAAAAAAGTAAAAAAAAAATCTGACAGCCAAAAAAAAAAAAAAAACGAAAATCCGAAAACTTGGCAAAAAACAGAATTTGCCATGAAAATGATGAATAAATCTTTGTGTATATGTGTGTGTTCGAATTCGAATGGAAACGAATTTGTGTCGGTATAATGGAATGTACAGTTCGCTGTGAAATTGAACATCTGTATCATTATCATCATCATTTCAATGTTTGATTTGATTTTGTTTCGTTTTTTTTTTTCTTCATGTTGCTAGATTCAAAATACTTAAGGACATTCATAGGAAGAGATTTAGATTGGAACATGAATTGGACCGATGGAAACAATGTGAGTATATTCTATGCAAACTCATTTTTCAATTTGGTCATATCATACGATCAAATTCTATCCATCCATTCTATATATGGTTGTAAAAGATCAATCGATGAAATCGTTTATTTGCACATTCGCTTTATTCCGAAAGAATGGTTCAAAAATACTGGAATCGATAATTCATTTTATTTCATATCAAACATTCCATTGGACAGATTAATGAGACATGCCAAATGGTGAATAATAAGTGAAAACAAAAATTCCACAAGATCATAGAATAAAAATATCTGATATAGTCAATAATATCTTGTAAACAAGCAGCAAAAGATCCAATAATTCAAATATAGATTATTCATAGTAAAAAATTCATTTTAAAGATTGTTGAAAAAAGTGGTGTACACAGTTCATCGATTCCATTTGATATTATGAACCATTCATTCATTTGATTTTTCCATAAATGATTAGGATAAAACTTGAAATATATTAATTTCACACACATGAAAATAAAAAATAGGAAAACGAATAATACCTATATATTCGTTTGATGATTGATGAAAACAATGACTATTCCGTAACAGCTTCAATGAACGGTATTATTAGAGCGCCAAATTCAATGAGTGTCATGCTGTCTGTCCCAATTCATTTTGGCGCAGAAAATATATTGGACCATTGTTTGGGATATTTTCGCATGCATGCATGCATGTGCCATGAACAGCTGTAGCTATTTGTTCTGAATTTTTATATTTTTTTAGTGTTTTTACTTTTTTTTTTTTTTATATTTTATCAAGATGTTTGTGATCAAACGAAATGGCCACCAAGAATCGGTCATGTTCGATAAGATAACATCACGTGTGAGAAAACTTTGCTATGGACTGAACATGCAATTCGTTGATCCAACCATCATTACGATGAAAGTAAGTGAAAGTAAAACTAAATATTCATTGTATTGAAAATTGTTTTATTTAAATAGGTAATGTCTGGATTATATTCTGGTGTTACAACAAAAGAATTGGATGAATTAGCAGCAGAAATTGCAGCCACGTTGACCACTGAACATATTGATTATGCCATTCTTGCCGCTCGAATAGCTATATCAAATTTACATAAAGAAACAAAGAAAAATTTCTCCGATGTTATTCATGATTTATATACAACGATCAATGAACATACTGGTCAACCCACTCCAATTATATCGAAAGAAATTTATGAAATTATAATGGCCAATTCTGAACGTATTAATTCTGCCATAATCTATGATCGTGATTTTAATTACAATTATTTTGGTTTCAAAACATTATATCGAAGTTATTTGCTCAAAATTTGCGACAAGGTTGTCGAACGACCCCAACATATGTTAATGCGTTGTGCTATTGGTATTCATGGTGATGATATCGATGCCGCCATTGAAACGTATAATTTAATCTCTGAAAATTGGTTTACACATGCATCACCTACATTGTTTAATGCCGGCACAAAACGGCCACAATTATCATCATGTTTTCTGCTTACTATGAGTGATGATAGTATTGAAGGTATATATGATACCCTTAAAAATTGTGCCATTATTTCAAAATCAGCTGGCGGTATTGGTCTTAATGTTCATTGTATCCGATCTTCTGGTAGTTATATTGCCGGTACGAATGGATTTTCTAATGGCTTGGTTCCTATGTTACGTGTATACAATAATACGGCTCGATATGTTGATCAAGGTGGCAACAAACGTCCTGGAGCATTTGCCATCTATCTAGAACCATGGCATTCGGATATCTTTGATTTTATAAATCTTCGTAAAAATACCGGATCCGAAGAATTACGTGCACGTGATTTATTTTATGCCCTTTGGATTCCTGATTTATTCATGAAACGTGTGGATCAAGATGCAATGTGGTCATTGATGTGTCCGAATGAATGTCCTGGATTATTTGATTGTTGGGGTGAAGAATTTGAAAAGCTATATGAACATTATGAAAATGAAAAACGATATCGATCACAATGTCGTGCTCGTGATCTTTGGTTTTCCATTATTGAATCACAAATCGAAACTGGCACACCGTATATGGTTTATAAGGATCATTGTAATCGTAAATCAAATCAACAAAATCTTGGTACAATCAAATGTTCTAATCTTTGTACGGAGATTGTGGAATATTCATCTAAAGATGAAATTGCTGTCTGTAATCTAGCCTCGATTGCTTTGAACAAATTCGTTAATCATAAAAATCGAATCTATGATTTTAAAAAATTGAAATCGATTGTTAAGGTTGTCACTCGTAATCTAAACAAAGTTATTGATGTTACTTATTATCCCGTACCGGAAGCTCGATATTCGAATCTTCGACATCGACCGATAGGTATCGGTGTTCAAGGTTTGGCCGATGCATTCATTCTAATGCGTTATCCATACGAAAGTGAAGAAGCTCGATTGCTCAATATTCAGATTTTTGAAACAATTTATTATGGTGCATTAGAAGCAAGTTGTGAATTGGCTGAACGAAATGGTCCATATGAAACGTATGAAGGATCACCAGTATCTAAAAGGTATTCTACAGTTTGACATGTGGAATCGTCAACCAACATCTCTTTGGAATTGGAACGATTTGAAAGCTCGAATCGCAAAACATGGTATACGAAATAGTTTGCTTGTAGCTCCAATGCCTACAGCTTCGACAGCACAAATTCTTGGGAACAATGAATCTTTTGAACCATATACAAGTAATATATACACAAGACGTGTTCTTTCCGGAGAATTTCAGGTTTGTTTATTTTCTGACAATTTTTTCTATTTAAATTTCATATTTTTCTACGATTTTAGATTGTCAATCCTCATCTTATACGTGATTTAACCGAATTAGGTCTTTGGAATAATTTACTTAAAATGAAAATAATATCTTCACAAGGTTCAGTACAGAATATTGATAGTATTCCGAAGAATATCCGAGATCTATACAAAACTGTTTGGGAAATATCACAGAAAACAATTGTCCAGATGGCTGTTGATCGTGGTGCATACATTGATCAAAGTCAATCATTAAACATTCATTTTGCCGAGCCAAATATTACGAAATTGACATCAATGCATTTTTTTGGTTGGCGTTCAGGATTGAAAACCGGAATGTATTATTTACGTACGAAACCGGCTGCACAGGCTATACAATTTACGGTGGATAAAACAAAAATACGTATAACAGAAGAAATACAAGAGCCAAATGACGTAAACGATGGTAATAATGATAAAAATTCAGGTGATTTTACAATGAATAAAACACGTGAAGAAAGAGAATTAGCATTAGCTAAACTTGAATGTTCATTGGCCAATAAGGATGCTTGTCTATTGTGTAGTTCATAAATCATTTCGATAATAATAATATTAAAATGACATTGCCAACTATCTAATGCTGTAATCAATTGTAATTGAATAAAGATTTGATTATATGATTGAATTTGATTGATTTGATGTCTACCAAATTTACCTGAAAAATGCATATTTTTGTCCATTATATATTTAAATATATAAATCAAAATGGTCAAACCATTTGATGTGTGATCATCATCATGATAATGATTTTGTCAAACAGTGGATGACGTGTCCGCCATTATTTTACTATCGATGACGATTATGTGTTTTTTTTTTATTTTAAACAAATTTTTGCATCTGAATTACTATAATTTATATATGAATATGTAAAAATGAGCTGTAGCCCTTCACATTTAATAACTGTGTATGCAAAAAAAAGCCGGTGTGTGTGTATATGATGTTATGATGACCTTCAAAATACACACATATTTTTTATATATATATAACACGTTGTTGAAGCGCATGTACACAATATATCGATATATGATTGCATGATGTCATCGTATGATACAACAACACATTCTTGCATGTATACATCTGTGTTCCAACAAAATATAATGGAAATGAGCAAATGATTCTATATTGTCTTTGTTTGTTGTGTATATAAATTAGATTCCTACATTCTGTAGAATCGTTTTCATTTGATGATAATCGATAAGACAATTTTTTGCCATTTTATAATAAGGTAAATATTTCGTATGAAAAAGAGGTGTATAATTCCTCTTTTTTTCCCGTTTAAATATTGATTGCTTATCATCATTAGTGATTATGATAATAAAAGTGTTTTTTTTTTTATGTCACGTATGACAAATAGGTCCTGCTTTATAATTCCATCTACAAATGAAAAAAATAATATAATTTTAAAGAAAATCAATCGTGTTTTGTGTTTTTTCTCTACAAAAAAAAAATTTTATATAGCATATCTACCTGTGTTCGCGGTAAGTCAAATAGATGAATCGATTTTATTCTAATTGTTTTTAAATTGTAAGAACTATAAAACAACATTTTTTTTTCATTGATCTAAGTTTCGTTGAGAGAACATTATACAGTGAGGGAAAAAAATGTCGAATTTTTTTTCAGATTGATTTTTCATTTTATTTATACCAAATTATGATCATTATGATGGGAAAAATTTGTTTATTTCATCCATCATTTTTATCATCAAATCGATTTGTTCGTTTTGTAATCATCATTGATGTTTGTTTTGCTGCCAATTTTTTTCCTCTTCTGTATTGGTTTCTTTTTTTTAAAGAAAACCATATAGAAAAATTTTCATACAAAATGATCTTTAACAAGAAACATTTCTTTGTCCAATTAAATGAAATATATATCGATAGATAATAATAATAACATCAAATGTTTAATAATAATGTATATGATACAATGAAAAAAAATATGTCAATTTCTATACTTCCAATAACATTGGCCTTGATTTTTTTTTTAATTATTATCGCTCATCATTTTTATAAATATAGACATGTGAGTCTGATGATTAAAAGATATGATGATATGATGATGATGATATGATATAATGATGAATCGAAATTCTTTGATGATATAATCTCATGATTATGATAATTTGTTCATAAAAATCCTAAACGAAAAAAAAAATTGGTTACATATGCTCTCATTTAGCTGTTTTTTCGATTTCATGTACTGGACAAAGTACAGCTTATCATTTGATTGATGTAGGTTTTAATTTATTGTATGGTGAAATGGATTAAGAATATATGTATTATAATTGATGAAATACTTGTTGCATATTTCTTAATTACAATTTTCAATTATTCTTTTTTTTTGTTTGTTTTGGCTATAAATTAGGATTAATTGTTTGTTTTTTTTTTTTTGAAATATTTGAAGATGATAATTAAAATTAAAACATAAACATTTAATAATGATGATGTGTAATGAAATGGATTATTATCTTTTTTTTCCAATAAAAATCTCACGAGTTGCATATCTATTGCACTTGTTTGAATCAGCAAATTATTTATTTATTATGAATCGATATGAGAATGATTCATTCAAAATTTGATTATCAAGCAAATTGATTGTCGCATAATCCAAAACTATAATGTCTATGGTATATCCATTTTTCCTTTGATGATCTATTTTCATGACTGTTATGGGTCGTTTTTTTCAACTCACTTTTCATAGATTATATATGGTTGAATACATCTGATTGTTTATTGTAGGTTTTAAAAAGTTTTCATGGTCATCTTTCTGCACCTGAAATCATTGCCAACTCTATATTATCAGCCGAAGCAAAGAAAAAAAAATGTTCGCATGACTGATTAAACTTCCGACAAAAAAAAATCAAGCCAAAAATTCAAATATCATATCCGTTAAATAATTTGTCTGTGTAGTTTTGTTTATTTCATTTGATTTTTTTTTTTATTTTGTTTTGAGTTTTGTAACATTCATTCATTTTGTTCTATGTACATATGTTCTTGGGTTTTGTGTTCCTACTTTCTGTTGCTCGTGTATTCAGGTTACAATCATTCGTTTGATAGAGGATTATATTTATATTTATATATATCAACTGAAAAAAATCTTAATAAAATCATTTGATCAATCAGCGTTTCTAAAACGTTTTCGACAGAGGACGAAGTGTGGGTACTATTTTATAGCACAGTAACAGTTGGTAAATTTTTTTTTGCGGACCACAGATTGTGAATACTAATGTGTTGCTATAAGAGAGTACATCTACGAAAAAAAACTATCATTTTTGGCTTTTGATTATCAGTAATATTTTCTTTATATACATTCAATGCAAATCACGACAATCAAGCTAGTTAAAGTTGATTAAAGTTGTGTGTCTATGTTTTTTTTTTTGTTCATGATTTATTCACAAATTTGGCCTATATATTCTATAACAAATTTCCAATAATCAAACATCAGAGTTTGAATTGACAACCGATCATATTCATATATTCACTCGTGATTTTGTGGCATTAATTTTTTTTTTGTTTTAATAAAAAAATTTTTCTCCATAGCATTTTTGTTGCTATCAACGATATTGTATTGTGATATTTTTCATTATATTATAATCTGATTTATTTGTGGCAGAAAAAAATTCAATTTAGTCGTAAGTGGTCAATGTTTTTTTTTTCATTTATAATTTGATTCATTCATATTGAACTTGATTGAATTCTATCTGTGTTTGTTTAGTTGTGTGTCTGACTTTAGTTTGTAACGGAAATCACCATTTCCCTTACATGTTTGCCATATGTTAATCTAATTTATTTGAGCAATTAAATTAATTAAATTTTGTTTTTTCTCTCTCTCTCTCTTTTTCTCCCTTTTTTCAAATAGTTTTCAATATAGTCCATTCTAGTTTTTCTTCTCTACAAATTTTAAATTTATTTATAATCAATCTAATCTCAATCAATAATCAACAAAATGCCACCATTCATCAAAACAAATGTCAACGATGTACTTGACAGTGATATTCCAGATTTAGAGCCAAGTGTCGAATTAAAAGGTGATTTAAATGATTTATTGCAAGCACAAAAAAATCAAAAGCCATATAAAATACAAATCGTATGGCGTAATGTAATCATAATGGGTCTTCTTCATGTGGCTGCCATTTATGGTGCTACATTATGTTTCGGTACAGCAAAATGGCAAACGGTCGTTGCTGGTATGTGTTTTACTCTATATGACCTTTTCTCTTACTAATTAATGGCATTTTTATTTCGAAAATATTAGCAATTCTTTTGTATGTTTATACTGGATTGGGTATTACGGCCGGTGCTCATCGTCTTTGGTCACATCGATCTTATAAGGCTAAATTTCCATTGCGATTATTTTTAGCTTTGGCACAAACAATGGCCGTACAGGTTAGTTTATCAGTCATAATCAGTATCATTGAAAATAATGTTCCATCCGATTTTTTTTCAGAATCACATCTATGAATGGTCTCGTGATCATCGAGTACATCATAAATATTCGGAAACTGATGCTGATCCGCATAACGCAAAACGTGGTTTTTTCTTTGCCCATGTTGGTTGGCTTCTCTGCCGAAAACATCCAGAGGTTATCAATAAAGGCAAAACAATCAGTTATGATGATCTACTTCGCGATCCGATTGTTGTATTTCAACGAAGGTTAGTTAATTCAAAAAAAAAAAAAACAAAATTACGTTGACTAAGCAGTGAATGTGTAAATGTAGTAAAAAGAAAAAAGGAAGAAACTGAAGAAGAAAAACAAAAATGATGATATGATCTCAACATCAACACTGTTGATGGTTATATAAAGGCAATCTTATCATAATAATTTTATCCATTTAAAAGAAGAAAAACATTTAGTAATAGTTTATTATTATAAGGAAAAATCTTTCATCTCCAATAATCAACATGTACTCAATAATGTTATATAGCGAAACAAAAAATCAAGATTTGAGGTCCATTACCAAAAAAAAAAAAAAAAACATCCTAAAGAAGAAAAATACCATGTTCTGATAAGGCCATGATATCTATGACTTGTTCGGTCATTGGTTATTAGTTTGTGTGTAGTAATCATCATGAAATGAAACATCTAGATTAGGTCATGTGACGATGATGAAGATGAGCGAATCAATGATTTTTTTTTATTTGTTTTTTTTCATATGAAGAAAATAATTTGTAGCTTATTTCGTCATTGAGATACATCATGCGAACGATGAACTTGTTTTTGTTATTATGAAGATGATGTTTTCATTTGAAATGAAAACTTTTTTTTTTTTTTTTTCTTTTGTGGTTATATTAGTTAGGTTATTCTTTTGATGATTTTTTTTTTTTCTTTCTTTTGCTTATATATTAATTAATCATCATCCATTATTTTCCATGAAATAAAACCATGTAAATAGGAATATGTATGACAAAATTGAATAAGACACAAGTTACAAATATTGAAATAATGAAAATTTCTTTTCGTAGTTTTTATTTTTTTGTCAGATTCACTATTTACATCTAGTTGATGGAAAAAAAGTCACGTTTTTATATAATCTGACATTAAATTCAATTTCTTTTTTTTTCATTCTAAAATTCTTATTCTTGTTTATTATTTATATATATAGATATTATATTCCATTGATATTGATCTGTTGTTTTATTTTGCCAACATTGTTACCAACATTGTTATGGGGTGAAACATTATGGAATGCATATTTTATCTGTGCCATATTACGTTATGTATGGACATTGAATATGACCTGGTTGGTCAATTCGGCTGCACATTTCTGGGGACGTCATCCGTAAGTTTATCAATCATTTTTTTTTCTTTATCATATTTTCATCATCATCATCATCATCATCATCATCATCATCATCATCATCATTTGTTAGTTTTTCAACAAAATTATTTTCAATTTCCTCACTAATTTTTCTGTTTTTCTACTTTTTTTTGGGTATTTCCATCATTTTCTCGATCACACACACACACACACACACACACACACAATGATTGCACGTTTACCAGATATTGGTCGATAATTTAAAGATTGTTAGATTTATACTTTAGTTTAGTTTAGTTTAGTTTGAATTTTGATATGAAAACAAAATCAATATTTTTCAATGGAGAATTTTTTCTTCTCCATTGATTTTTTTTTTCAATGCCACATCGAATAATAATAATCATCGTCATCATCATCATCATTTCATTAGATTTAAAGCTATAATCAATTTTTTGTTTTTCATTTTTAAAAAGAAAAGAATGTTTAGTTTTTAGCTTTTTTAAAAAAACAACTAAAATTTATTGATTGAATTGCGCGGCCTAGCTTTAGATTTGTTGTTGTTATTTTTCTTATCCATCAAACTTTGATAACAAACAAAAAAAATTGTGATATGAAATGTGAAATGAAATTTTTTTTTCTCAGATTTTTGGAGAATGAAAAAATAACTAAACGAAAGATTCATTCGTTTTTTTTTGGCGCGCTAAACACACACATATACACACAAAAAAAGAAAGAATAAAAAACTCCACCCATTTGTTTTCCTCTTGCCCAAATTTTTTTGCTATCACATGCTTTATTTAGAGGAAAAAATCTAAATTTTTATTTATTTATTTTTTTATTTTCTCTTTTCTTTCGCAAAAAAAATGTCATTCGATTTGATTATCATTTCAATCTCTTACTAATGATGATGATGATGATGATTATATTCGTTCATTGAAACCGACCCGATTAATAATGTTGGCCGATTATTGATGCAATTTTTTTTCTACTTTATCTCTATGTATATAATATAATGCCATGGATGATTGGAATGATGTAGATATGATAAAAACATTCATCCAGCGGAAAACTATTTGACAGTATATGGTGCCATTGGTGAAGGCTTTCATAATTATCATCATACATTTCCATGGGACTATAGTACTTCGGAATTAGGATGGCGTTTTAATCTAACAACAATGTTTATTAATGCAATGGCTGCCATTGGACAAGCATATGATTTGAAACAAGTTTCGCCCGAAATGATTATAAAACGTAAACTACGTACTGGTGATATCGATACTCATGGTAATTACGGCCTTTATAATCCACCGATGATGAAGGAATCGACTTCATTGCATCATCGACAAGATAACGACAAGCAACATCAACACTAAGCAACAAAAAAAAACAGCAGCGGCTGCAAGCAACGGTGTGTTGGTTTGAATTTTTTTTTTTAAATCAAAACTGATTCAAATCAAATCATATAAATGTTTTTTGTGAGTGAATGACCAAAAAAAAAAAAAAAATCACAAAAATCATCTACAAAAATTTCTATTTTTTTTTGTTATCCGTTATAACCAGAGAAAAACTCTATAATTCACAATCACACCAACCGATGTAAAAAAAAATGAAAGAAGTTTGAGAATTAGATATGTGATGAATGAACCGGAACTAAAACAGAAAAAAATTTGAAAAAATTTTCTATCTGTGCACACCATACTTTCATACACAATACACACACATCTTTGAAATCTTCTTCTTCTTCTTCTTTTTTTTCTATTATACAGAATTTCACCCGGTGTTATTTTCTCCAAATGAATAAATAAACAAAAATTCTGAAGAACAATATATTTATTATAAATTTGAATTTTAAAAAATTTTCAATTCAATGAAAAAAATGTTATGAATATTTTTTTTTAGAACAAAAAAATTGCAATTTTTATCACGCCCACTATTGATTTACTGATAAATCAGTGATAATCATTTCATCAATCAATCAATCGAGAAAAAAAACGGGTGCAATCACATCAAGAAAAAATATTGCAGGTTATTCAAATTTATCATCGATAGAATGTTTATCGATTCTCAGCGACAAAACACATTTTGCCAAAAGAAAAAACTATCAAACAAACAATTCACCTCTTAACTTTTTTTTTTTTTGATTTTTTTCGTTTCAATTCAACTTTTTCACCTCTACACAACAAAATGAATGCCTCAACTTTTTCTCTTAATCTTTTTGGATATAATTCATTACGAATGTTGATTACATTATACATGGCCATTTGTTTGATTTATTCATTGAAATTGACCATTGTGAATGCATCACCTGTGGTCAATATTGGCAAAAATTCGGGTACAAATCATGACCATTCTCATTCTACTCATCAAAATTCATTATCACCAACCGATTTAATCAGTAATACCGAATATTTTCGTCAAATGTTATCAAATGGTAGTGGTTTCAATAAAACTATTCTTTTTAAACGTGAAGATGTTACAGATAATATTGTCAAAATATTGCGAAATAATCCTAATGATTTATTGCTCACTAATCAAACTGATCATCATTTAGGATCGATTGATTGAACAAATTAATTAATTTTGAATCATACAGACCTCTTTCTCTTCCTCATTCTCTCCTCACGTTTTGTAACCAAAAGAATTTTTTTTACGAAAAAAATGAGGCGAACAAAAAATAATATTATCACTACCTCAACCTCAGTAGATGAGATGAAAAAAAATCCAATTATCCGACCAAAAAATGGGATCAATCAATCAAACAATTGGGATTACTCCCAATATCACATAGTTTAATATATATTTATTTTTTTTTATCACAAAATTCCATGTTTTAAGTTCAATATAAATTGATTGTGTTCGATTATTCATTCATAAAGAAAATGTCCAGCATTCAATTCAGTCCATTTTTCAATTTAAAATTATATAATTCATTTATATCTGTGCCATATTGGTTTTGTTTTTCTTTCTATTTTTTATCGGTTAAAATTTCTTTTCATTTTTTTTTGTCAATTTGAAATTTTTTTTTCTATGATTAAAATAATTTAATTACCAAAGATGGCAGCACTAGCTTTAGCAATTTCATATTTATCATCAGTACAATCGGGAAATTGTTGTCGACATTGATGACATTCATTTTCTGGTGTTGATGCCATTTTATAGCCAGCAATTGCAGCATTATGGATTATATCGATTGATTTGGATTTATTTGGATCACCTTTCATTAAAGTAGATTCACTTGCTGGTGGTTCAACCATGTTCATGCCCAATTCAGTGATAGTCATTGAATACAATTGACAAGTATTTTCACAGCTTACCAATGAATAACAACTTGTCAAATTGGCACGATCAACAAAATGCATTGAATAATGATAATATAACATTTCTGGACTAAGATTTTGAGGTAATTTTGGTGCTAAATCAACGAATGAGACATTTGATTCGATCAATTTTCGATACAAAGCATTAATTCGTACAGTGTATGCATAATTTAATGGTGGACAATTAGCTGAATATTGATTCTGACAATTTATACAAGCTGATCGAAGACCTTTACCACTGGTAGATTTGGCGTTACGAGCAAAGTCAATACCTTTTCTGGATGCTTGCATGATAACCTTAGCGAAATCAGGTGTTTCATCATCTTCATCTTTTTTCGATGATGCCTCCATGGCAGATATAAATTGATCGATAACAGATTGTTCACGTTGTTTTTGTTCGGCTGTTCTTTCGGGCCATGAATAACAATGTTCGTTACAGGCAGACATGCCAATACAATCGGTCATATTGGCTTCATTGATAAACGCTAAATTTTGAATGAATAAATCTGAAACATGAACTTGATTCGATACGGTTATATTCATTCGATTTGTTGCATCCGGATTATAATGCATAAATGGTAACGATGTATCAGCATTGTCAATAATATCTTTGACCAATACAGAAATTGAATTCTTTAAGCGGGTACATTTTTTCAAACTTGATTCATACACTTGATCTGGTTTACAAAGTGTTGGCTGTGATCTTGGTATACGACTTCGAGCATCAATCAATAACGATGATAAGCCGATGATCAATAAGATCCAACAAGCACTAAAGCCGTGTACACTGATAGACATTTCGATTCTGGATTGATTGATTGAGATCAGATCAACAACAAGCACATTCAAATACCTATAAAGTAAGATTCTAAATTTAGATATGAAATTTAAAAAAAAAATTTGATTGTTACCGATTGATTTTAAATCGTAACTCGTCGTCGATTATATATTGCAGCTAGCCACAATAAAGATGAAAAATAGAAGATTCGATCCTGACCACTGATCAATATGATAGAATGACCCGAATCAAATGTTCGTCCATCGTCTTTTAAACATTTTTTTCATCGTGTTTATAATGACATAGTGAAGAAGGGGGGCGTCAGCGGATGCGATTTTTTTTTTGATCATCTCTGTTGTTCTTCTTTTCAGCATTGAATCATTTTTTTTGTTTTAGTTTCTCTTTTTTTCACATACACATTTCAACTGTCCAAAAAAAGTTCCAAAATGATGATGATGATGATGATAAAAACTTGTAGAAACTTGGACGTGATCCTCTTCAAATCAGATTTTTTTTTTTAACGAAGAAGACGACTACGAATCCGATAAAATCAAACGACCTAATATTTGTTTGAAATTTTATAAATGGAAAAAGAAGAAGAAGAAAAAAAAAGGAAGAAAAATAAATCGAAAGAACAAGTTCCTTGTTTTCAATATTTTTACGTAAACATTTTTTGTTTTGTTTTCATTTCGATTTGATTTTTTGTTGTTTTTCCATGTTTCTGTCATTCTCAACGATGATGATGATGATGATGGAAATTATTGTCAATCAAAAATAATAAAGCAAAAATAACATGAAAAAGATGTAATCAGCATCATCATCATCATCATCATGATCTGGGAATTTCAAATATGGTATAATGATGATGATAATGATTGACAGCAACACAATCACACACACACACACACACACACATTGGATCGACACGATGAATAATAATAAACAACGAATGAATTGGTTCAAATTATGGATCATCATCATCATCATTCTAAATAGTTCGTCTGTCCGTATGTCGATATAAAAGATTGGAAAGAAAAATTTTCAAAATTGAACTAGTTTTTTTTACCATTTCTAGACTGTGAGACGGAAATATTCATTTTTTTTCTTCTTCGCGACTATAATAATCTTTGGGACTTGATTATAATTTTTTTTACGATTTTTTCAGGGCGCTAAAAGTGTGTGAATGTGTCGTGTAGAAAAATAATGTTTTCAATTTTTTTTTTTGCTATTTTTATGTATACAACATTAGAGAAAATTCATTCAAAATTTTGTTATTCACTCACGCATACATCATCATCATTATTATTGACAGGTGTATGATGAGGGCGAAAAAAAAATAAACGACGACCAGGAACGAGAACTTGGTACGATTTCAATTTTCGACCTATTATAATTCGAGAACAATCAATTTAAGCCATAATGATATATATAGACATATTTCTTTGAATTGAATGAATGAATGAATGAATATATGATGATGACAAAAAAAAGCGAACAACTGTAATGATGATGATGATCCATCATGATCCCAACCATGATTACCTGATGATGATGTTGAAATAATAATGATTTAATGATGATAATAATTCATTTTCGTTCTTTTCCACCTTTATTTTCTTTTTAAACATTAATTTTACACCAAATCATCATCATTCATTTATTGATTGATGAATAATAAAATCAGTAAAAATTTCCTGGATTTTTTTTTAATAAAAAACAATTTTCTTGAAATTCAATTTTTTTTTTAAATAATCATCACTTTTTTTTGTATATAGCTTGATTGCTTGACTTTCACCAGTTTGATAGATTAGTTTGACCTAAAATGTCATGAGGATTATTAGATGAAAAAAAATTCGAATGAGAGAATTTTCAAATAAATTATCCAGATAATTTTATTGTCTTGTGTGGAAAAAAAAAAAAGTGATGATATGATGATGAATGTTAATTAGAATCGTGTTTTTTTCAATTGAAATAATCAAAACAAAACAAAACTTGGACATTTTATTGAACATATATCAACATCATCATGGTATCGAGAAAATTTTATATTTTATTCATATATGTAAAAACCATATATATTGAAAATATAATCTCTTTAGTCATTTCATGGTAAAAAAACAATTCTCAAATCCCGTCACTTAAATATTGAAAAAGTAATGACAAAATTTCCGAACCTGTTGTATGATTTTTTTTCTTGTTCACTTGTAGCGTAATTATATTATCATTATTACAGATGTTCATTTTCTCGTTTATATGTCCTGAAAGCATTATGCATGATTCAAAATTTATTACCTTTACGAATTTTGTTTTTTTTTCAATTTTAGAAATTGAATTTTAATCATTGAGAAATAAATAATGCGGTTATCTCGAACATTCAAATGATTCAATTTGTCTATCAGTCTCCATTCGGTCGGTCGGTCGTAGAGATCATGCGAAAAGGATTGAAGATTGTGATGAAACCTGTGTATTTTTTCTTCATTCAGAATGGGATACTCATACTAATTTTGTTTTTTTATCTTTCAATCAAAAAAAAAAAAAAAAAAAATTCGATCAAGGAAACGACAACGATTTTGATGCGATGATATATGTGTGCGTGTGTGTGTGTTTTTGTGTTTATGGTAATGGCGACTAGATTCGATTCGATCACTATATGATTATGATGATGACGATAATGATGATTGTGATGGATATTGCTTCTCGTTTTTTTTTCTCGTGTGACGAACGAACAGCCAATTAACGTATAGGGCAAGAAAAAAAACCGGAAGAAAAACAGCTTGCCCGTTTGTTGGCTCATTTTATTCGTTATAGCTGGCCAACTCGTTCGGTTATATATCGAATGTATCGCGGGATAGAGAAGAAAAAAAAATATATGTTTTTTCTTTCTTACTCAAATCTATCAGAGCGAAACTTGTGTAAGTGAAATCGAGATGTTCAATAATAACAATAATAATAATACAGAAATGAAAGTTTATTATGGAGAGAAAAAAAAAGACTGTATGTCTCATGCCGTCTCATTCAATCCGTTCCAAGACAAACAACACACCGAGCCATGCAAATATATTGTCTTTCAAAAAATCATCGTTAACCAAATTATCACTGTATTACTAAAAAAAAAAAAAAAACAAAGAGAACGTGAATACAACTTTTACGAATTTTTAACGAAAATATTAGCCCACTCCTCATTTTATACGGTTTGGTCATTGATGGTGGTCATTCGGATGAATTTCTTTTTCGTATTTTTTTTTCTGAATCTAGAAATAAAGAAAATCAATCTGTATGGATTAAGAGAATGAATTCTTCAAATCATAATGAAGAGACTATTGACTTGATTCGACAAAAAAAAAATGATCTCAAAGTTTAATTGAGAAACAAAGAGAGAAAGCAAAGAAATAGAGAAATTGTCATGCCATATTGCCAGTTGTTTGTTATTATTTACCATGATCTTTCATTATTTTTTACTACTACTATTAATCGTTGTTTTTTCTAATTTTTTTTTTCATTATCGTAATAAACGGGATTTGATCCGTCAATATATATATATATATCACATGTAGAAAAAGTTTAATCTGCTACGTTTAAAAAAAAGAAAAGAAAGAAGAAAAAAAATTTCTTCGTATTTTGTGTTCATGTTCATGTTCATTTATTATTTTTTTTTAAATGTTCACCTTTGATGATAATAGTAATAATAATAATAATGATGATGATGATGATGATGATGATTAGAAAAATCAGTCATACTTGACTCGTTTTGAACTCGGTCGTTATTTTCATTTTTTTTGAAGGTGACACATATATACAAACACATGCGATGACATTTACGACTTTTATACACACACGCGTCTTGTAATTATATTGATTATTATTTATAAGTGTATTTGATGAATGGAAAACAAACAAAAAGAAAAAAATTATAATTCAAAATTATCAATTTTTATTCAAAGTTCCGGTCCATTTTTTTTCATCGTCATTTTATCCCGTTGAATCCATTCATCCATGATTGATTTTTATTTGTAATTTGGATCATAATCATCATTATTATAATATAATATTCGATCGATCGATCAATGAAAAATAAATTCGTAATGTATCCATGTATATCATAGGTAATTTATCTGGTTTAATTTCATCATCATCATCATCATTATTATCTAAATTGATCAAATAACAAAATACAAATGTCCATCATTATCGATGATCAATCATTCTACATAATAATAATAATAATAAAAATAATTTTATTCCCATTGATTCAATTGTTTTTCTTTTGTGGTTCAACAACTTTCCGGACATTCATTTATTGTCATCATCATCATCATCATATATATTCTGAAATTATAATATCACTAGAAAACTGAATAATTTTCCTAAAAATATCAATCATTAACATATTAACATTTTTTTTGTTTTGTTTACCAATTTTATAAAATCGGTTTTTTCCCTATAGTTAGAAAGAAAATTATATTGGCAAACCATTGATGTTGTTGTTGTTGTTGTTATTATCATTATATAATTACATAATAATGTCAACATCAATTTAAACGACAACGACTACAACAATCATTTTTATCGATTATTTTAATGATTGTATCGTTTTTTTTTCATTATCAAATATTCAATCTTGTATAATTGTCATCAAAATTTGATTTGTAATTTTTTTTATCGTTTTTTTTGCATCTTTTTTTTCTTTGTGTGTGTTTGCTTTTTTTTTTTTTTTTTTGTTTTGTTTTGTCATCATAGACTTGCACTTTCAACAACAACAACAATCGACCAACCGAATAGACCGAATGAAACATCATCATCATTGTTGACAAATCAGAAAAAAACGATGATTTCATCATTATCATAATATTAGTGTGTGTGTGTTTGTTTGTTTAGTGTTGTTGTTTGATCTTTTTTTTTCTTCATCTTTCTTATTATTATTATTTTTTTTCAATTTCAATGTTCGAGGTCTTTTTTTCTCTATTTTTTTGTTGTTTTTTCTTTGATCATCATTTATTCAACATGATCTTCGATCCATCATCATCATAAGCCATTGCTATTGTAATGAATAAAGTAAGAATTAGCAAAATGAAATTTTATTCAAAAAAGTAAATCGTTTAAATAATAATTTCCTTACTTTATATGTAATCTACACATATTGTTTCAATCAATAATCATTACAATTACAATTTTTTTATTATTATTATCATGAAGAATAAATTCAAATACTCATTTCGAATCAATATTTATCATCATAATACCTGCAGGTAAGATTATTGTAAATAAATTCGAAAAAAATGCACTTGTACTTTTTCTTGATAATTTTCCATTTTTCGTTTGAATCACATAATTAAATGTTGTTCATCATCATTATCAGACGAACAAAAAAAAAGGTTAATTGAACTCTAAAATTCAATTGAAAATCATCAATGAATGATGATAATGATCATGATGAAGATTGTCATGCATTAATGATTTATGATGATTACAAATCACAAAATATATATTATATATTTACATAGCGAAAAACTTGCATTTTTTTTTTGGTGTTTTTTTTCTATTGTTGGCAATTTATTTTCCTCATTGTTATTCATTCATCGCATATATATTTTATCAATCAATTAGCTAAATTATTTTATTCGACATATTTCAGCACTTTATAGCATTGAGTGGTGAAAAAAAAAGTTGCTCAACTTATCGGATAATTTTTTTTTTTGTTATTCTCAACATTACCTATTACCAGTTATCTATCAATCAATCAATCAATTGTTTTATGAAGGAAAATAAAAACTTTCTTTTCCTCATTCATCAATTATCAACATCATGAATTTCAATTTATCTTTTAATTTTATTTATTTTTTTTAAATCTAATTGAAACCAAAAAAGATTACGAAAAAGATTTCATCCATCTATTATCATCGATTGATTATTGCATGGAAATTTCTTTTTCGGACATTTCAATCAGAGTGTGTGTGTGTCTGTGTTGTAATCAAATATCATGATTATCATTGTTTTTTATATAATATTATCAAGGTAGTATTTAATAATGATTTAAACTTCATTTGGTGAGTTGGTGATGATGATGATGATGATGGATGATGATGATGAATGCGATATTTTTTTCATCTTGTTGAATAAACTTTCAACTCTTATTTGATTAGTTAGTATCATTATCATTATTATTATAGTATTATGAAAGATATATAGATACACTTTATATGTTGTATAGTTATTTAGGATTTGGATATAATGTTTTCAAGCATGAATGAATCAAAAAAAAAGTGTTCAAATGTTGTCTATATTTTTTTTTTCATTTCTCTCTCTCTCTCCGAATTTTTGATTTTTTTCCGAATCACAACTACTCCATCCTTATCTATATATCATATCGTTTCAAAGTCTAAATTGAACTAAACCAAACTGAATTGAACAATAGTGGAAAAAAAAAAATTTTTTCGTTGTTTTTTTTCGCTTTGCTTTATTTCGCTCAAATCATCATCATCATCATCATCAGTCTAATGAAAACCAAGACCCAAAATCTATACATATGTGTGTTTGTGTTTCTCTTTTTGAATCGGTTATAGATTTCTGTTATATAAGCCAAATATATATGAATTTATGAACTGATAAATGAATAAATAAATGACCCGATGATATTGACTTGTGACTATTATTAACCCAATGACAACATGATGTGTGTGTGTGTGTGTGTGTGTGTGCATGCAACACTTTTCAAGAAAAAAAGTGAAAAAAATTCAACGAAAAATCTTTTGAAAATTCAATCATTTTTTTCAAATATTCAGAAAGAAATATCAATCAATTTGATTTTATCATTTTCTGTGAATCCATTTCCTCACTGTAAATAATGAATTTTAATCAATAAAATTTTTGACGAGTGCAAATTCTCAAAACATTTTTTTTCATCGCTTTCAGCCATTATTATCGATGAAAGTATTGATTAATTCATAATATATTATGCTGTGATATGATTATCGTCATACCCCTTTTTTTCATGTATTATTTTGATTTGAGAGTTAGTTATTTTTTTTTAAATTTCACGTACTCAAATAAAACGCACTATTCATCCATATTTATTCAAATCAATTCATTTGGACAAATACTTACACTCAAACAGACACACACACACACACATATATATATATATAGTCGTCAAACAACAAACCAACGTAACCAATCAGTCGATTTTCCATCATCATGATATCCATTCTATTGTACAGCATTCTATTCATTCTTCCATTGATCGTCATTGCTTTGTTCGTCTTTAATCGACGTATCAACAGGTGTGATAATAATCATCATCGAATCATTCAACGAATAATAAATATTTTTAATATCTGTTTATTTTTCTTTTGATTTGATTCGAATATTTGTTTTTATTTCATTCAAATCGATTAACAAGATAACTATATTAATATTTCTTGAAATTTTTATTTTCAAATATAAAATTTCGTCTCTTTTTCTTCAATTGCTCTCCAATTTTTCTTTTTTTTTTTTTTTTTTGATTTAAAAACTTTATAAATAGCCTAATATTACATGTTACAACATTTTGAAACTTTGCCATCGATCGAATCAAATAATTTAACTTACAGTCAATTAAGGGTATTTAGAGGTTCAGGCAATCCATTTTGGGGGGGGAATGGGATTGAATAGAGTAAATCTAGTAGTCTCCTCTGTGTGTTTGTTCGTTTATTTCCTATGTTTTTTTTCTCAATCCTATATATTTATATCATTAAGCCTAAATGTACTTTGATGATGATGAAACTAGTTCTCTTTCTTTATGTTGTATAATACTTTATTTCTTTTTGAATTGAGAATTGATCCAAATATCTATTTTTCTCCCTATAAGCCCTTTTTCATCATCATCATCATCATCATCAACTACATCACAAATGGATCTAAACACGATGACAACGTTTCGTTCATTATTGTTGGGTGTTGTTAATAATAAAGCATCATTTCTACAGAATGAAGATGTTACTTGCTTCTATCATCACCATAATCATCATCATCACAGTGGTGGTAATGGCGTTGGTGACAACGATGAAAATTCAGACAATACGACATCATCATCTTCGGCCAATAAACAGCAACGAATGGCTAACAATAATAAAAATGTTGATGTTTCTCAATTCAAGGTATATTGAATACATTATTCATTGTTTATATATGTGATAAAAAAAGTAGCATAATTGATTTGGATTCATTTTTTTATTTTAGTCGATCAATATTGACTATTTATCAGCTAGTAATTTTTCCTTTCATCCATGTCATTTGAACGTTAATGTTGATGAATCATCGAAAAAATCCTTACTGGTCTTATTTGCATGGCTATTCGCCAAAGAACGGCATCTGGACAAATATCGTCGCCTTTACATGGAACAAGGTTTTGATGTATTGACTATTAAAGTGAATGTAAAAGATTTCATCATACCGGCGGTCGGAAGCCAAGTAATTGCATCGCAAGCAGTACAATTTATCAAAGAACATGAACAAGATTATTTTTCACTTGTGTTTCATGCATTCTCGGTTGGTGCCTATCAAATGGGCGAATTATTAGTCATGTTGAATCAGGAGCACAATAAAGATGTGAAGAATACAGCGAGAAAATTGTTAAAAGGTAAATAATGAATGAGTTTTGGATATTAAAATTTTCAAGCCTTAAAATTTTTGACGGTCATCGTTAATCCTTAATCCTTAATAATGACAACACAGGCATGATATATGATTCAGCTGCTGATATCAACGAAGCTCCGATCGGACTTTCGAAGGCAACAACAACAAATCCATTACTACAATGGGCCATATGTTTGCTATTGAGTGCACATTTCCGTTTTTGTTATAATCTAGCTACACGCCATTATTTAGCATCATCGGAAGCATTACACCAGAATGAATTCCATTGTCCATCATTGGTATTTTTATCAAAAGATGATGTTGTCGTCAACTATGTTGATCAATTTAAAACGGCGGAAAAATGGCAAAAGAGAGGCATCAGCGTAACGATGAAATGTTGGGATCATTCTCCTCATGTTAGTCATTTTTTCAAACATCCCGATGAATATCGATCGTCGTTGATTGAATTTCTTAACAAAAATGTCATCGACCATCAATAACAACAACAATAATAATGATGATGATGAGGACAGCGAAAAAGAATGTCAATAAAAAAAAATCATCATATACATCATCATCATAAGATAATATTGATTGATAAATTATTGAAGTTTTTATTGATAAAAATCGATAATAATGTTCTAAACTAAACTCGTGACAATATACTCTTTGAATTTATTTTTTTTTTTTTTGGTTTTGTTTTTTCTTAATTCATTATCTACTTTTTTTTAATCATGTAAATCATTTTGTTTTTATTATTATTTTCTGTTTAGAATTTGTTAAGAATTTATTATTATATCAATTTCAGTATTTTTTTTCTTCTGCTTAATTTTCTACATAATTCTTTCGTCCAGCTGGTTATGTATAACAAAAAAAATGGACAATCCAAACAAAAATAATAAGTTATTATTAATTTGAATATTTTGTACATTTTTTTTTTTTTTTTTTCATTATGAAAATATAGTAGAGTAAAATTAAAATTTAATTTTTTTTTGCATCTCAATATTTTTGATTCGATAAATGTTGTAGAAAAAAAATATGCGCTTTTGGCACAAGATCAAAGATGTTTATTTGCCTTTCCACTTTTAGTAATCAACATCAGCATCCAATTGATCACAAACATTTTCGTTGATATTTTCTTCTACTGGAACACAAACTTTGTATTGTTCATCAAAAATCAATGTCGATGGATTACATTCGAAAAGTGTGCGTGAAAATCCACCTCTTGTTCCAGTTTTATGGCAACGATAGAATTTATGACAATCGTTTGGATTTCGAAAATAGCCTTCATCATCACAAATCAATGGTTTTGTCCATTCTGGTGGCATTTCCTGTGAAAACCTGTTTATATCGGTTGATTGAATTCGTTGTTTGGCTCGTTTAGAATTGGGAAACAATTCTGGCTTAGCTTTGCAACAATTGTGTTCACAATACTATTATAAAAATAATAAATATAGTTTAATTAATTTATCATCTAAACAAACATAGTAGATTACTACTCACATGAAATGGACCACATCTAGTTCCGGATTCCATGAATTGTTCGAAAATTTCTACTTCATCATGACATTGTACAATAGAATCTTTCAATGAAATATGTGGTGGATATGAACGTATAACATTTGTCTCTTCTTTTTCCTCAGGCAACTCTTCATCAACGCACAAGCCACATTCAATTTTGCATGGATTATGATAGGTATTTTGGCCGATAAAACTTAAATTTGCCGTTCCTGTACTATTGAATCGAGAAAATAATGCTTTACAACGTGATGATCGATCTTGTGGTGTTATGTATGGTGTTGGATAAGCTGATTATTATCAAAAATGAAATTCCATTAGATTAAATTACAGAAAATAAATCAAAATCACATACAAACTTCTTCAGGTCGATATCCTGGACAATGTTGTTGTGTTTGGCCAAACGATAGATAAATCTGTGACAAAACCGATGTGACAATAAACAGGTAGGGTCTAAATGATGATGTAAAATACATGGCTAGATAAGTTTAAATCTTGATTATAACAAAATTGTATTGAAACGTTCTACTTTTCGAAGATATTGGAATGGAATGAATGAAATAGAAAAATGACAGTGGTCGCCGAATCGACCATGATATATTTCAACGTGGAACATTTCGAATAAAAATCTATTTGGTACGATAATGATAAAAGAGAAACCTGCTAGTTCATTATGCACCTGACATAAAGATTAATTTTTTTTTGTTTCTTTTTTTCTTCTAGTTCATCATGAATTTATTTTTAGATTTAGCCATGATTAACTTCATCTGAATAGATTCAAGAACATCGTTATATTGTGGCCGCCATGGTGGCCACGACCAGTTTCTTTTTTCTTTTCTTTTTTCATTGCTTCAACAACAATAATGGTGATCCATCGAACGATGACCTTGTTCAATGTTTTATTTGGATCAGCATCATCATCTCAGTTTTTGTGATAATAAATTCGAATAGAAAACATTATGGATAGGACATATTGGAAAAAAGTTATGATTTGATTGTAGACATTGTAAACTCAAAAAAATTATAATCAAAATGTTGATCGAGAGAAATGTTGAAAAATTTCCAATTTTTATTTTTACTTCATAATCATCATCAAATATTTGACCTAAAGAAAACCTTGAATGTTTTCACGTCCTTCAACGACAACATTCGATGTCCCAGCGCTAAGACCGTTCGAATGGCGTTGATCTAGATCGAATGTATCACATCAAGCTCACCAAGTGAATAGAGTTATAAACAAAACAAAAAATATATTTCATTTGAATATATTTGATTTAATTTTTATCAAATCAATAAAATTATCATCATAATAATCATTCGGATTCGGAAAAGCTAAATGCAATCAAAGCCATGAGAAGAAAGCCAACAAATAGTAATGATATTTTTCGTAGTTTCAATGATAATGGTTCATTATGATTAAAGTGATTGGCATGGTCATGATCAACATTACCATTGCCATAAAGATCAATATCGGTCAATTGTTCATCATTTGATGATTGTCGCGTTGTCGTATTATTTTGTATACGATTTGGTCTTTGCTGATGATTATTGTGAATTTTATTATTATGATTATGGTGTTGTGCATCACCGTTATGTATAAATTCTTCGGGTATCAATTCGAAAAAAGTAACATGAATAAAGGTTCCTGCTGCAAAGCCCTGAAAGATTGCCGAAACGAAACGTCCAATATGACCAGGAGTATAGCCAATAAGAATGCCTAAAAGATTTCCGAGTGGTATGTTTAGTGAAAATACGGTGGCAAATTTCAAATGTGTTGTCATCTGAATCGTATCTTGTTGAAGACGAACGGCATTTAGGCCAAGTGCCAAAGCGACCAAGCATTCATGTAGAATGATACCAATAAACAAATGAATAGCTGTCTTAAGATTTGTTTGTAAACCTAGGGCCATGCCTAAATTGTGATTGAAATGAAATAGACATTAAAATTAGAATGAGAAAACAATTAAAGAATTACAACCTTCAAATAATGAATGTACGCTTGTTGCAAACATCAGGATAAAAAACGAAAACATCGAATCGTTACGGCTTTGCAATTGATCAACATTCAAATGATGATGGCCATGGTGATGATGATCATTCAATCTATTGTGATCATGACTAGTTGAAGGTACTCTGGAAGCATCGCTTCGAAGTAATGTTGAATTGGGTGATTGATGGCTTACAATGCCATTTGCAGGCACATCGTTGGAATTGAGAAGCAGCTCTTCTTCATGATTATCCGAACGCTGATCGATCTTTCATTTTGAAAAAACCATAATTAAATTTCAACCAAAATTTATGTACATTATTACAAACCGTTTCCTCATCAAGATGCAAAACGGGCACTCTATCACTTCCTGATTGTGAGCCATTAAAACAGCTTGAAAGAAAATTCTCCAGAAATAAAACCAAAAATAGACCACAAATGATGCTGAATTGGCCAACCGAGAATGAACCAAATAAATTTTTTAACGATGGAAAATCCTTGATCAAACTATCAAATTCATTTTCTACACAGGGCACTAAACTCAGAAAGCAAACACCAAGAAAAACGCCGGCCGATATGCAATTACAATAGGAAAGCCAACGTTTCCAACGATTTTTTTGTTGACGATGATCATGGGATTCTATAGATGAATGAAAAACGGTCAAATCACTCCAATGATAGGATTGTTGATTATAATCAGTTTCATTGTTTTCCGAATTATTCGGCAAACCTTGTTGTAGTTTACGACGACGAATAAAAATAACAATAGGCAATAGATATGAAATGAATGTCGCAAAAAACATGGCTACGGCAAAGAATGCCTGCCATAATAATGAACCAACATCGTAATGATCCATACATTAGATTTCGTTGATTACATGATGAGATGGTCCATTATTAGTACAATATGGACAATGTCTAAAAATTGTTAACGTGGAATCTATTCTTTTGGTATATACCCATCAATACAATCAATGGTGATTGTTCATTCTAACAGACAGACGACGCAACACCTGAATAAACACAAAAACATTGTATCCTCTTTTGTGGATAGACCCCTGAATTATGCCGAATTTAAAATCAAATTCAAATTTTATTGGCATACCAATTGATAAACATAATATATTTCTTTTTTATTTTACAATTTAATAAGCAATTTGAACATAGAAATAAATGAATAATAAAGTATGTGAATCAAAGTGGAGGCAAAAAGAGAATGATAAGACATTTTTCGTAAAAGAAACGAAAAAGATTCTACAATCATAATATAAATATTACAATCAATCAGAAGTAAAATGGAGTAAGATATAGTGTTTTATACTAACATAAGTAATCTCTCATCAATAATAAAATAAATCAAGAAATTCATCAATTAGGTTAAATTCATTAGTAAATTGATTATATTTAGCATTTTTATGTATAATAGGGTCCACTCATCAAAGATGCTTCAATAATATTTTTCATCTACCAAATATGCGTCTCGCGAATTTCTCCAATTATAATGTTTGCTCGTTGTAATGCCTATGAGACAAATAAAAAAAAATTCAATCGGTTAATTTGAAAATATCAAACAACAATGAAATTGTTACCTTGAGCATTTCATTAGCCTCTTGACGGCGGATGGCAATCTGATCTGATTCTTTCAATAAATAATCAAAATTTTCTTGTTTATATAAATGTGTAACCAATTCTGATTGAAGGTTATCTTTAACATAGTTGACCAAAAAATGCATTATGGATTTCGGTACGGAATCTTGAATGTTTTTTCTAATGATCAAAAAATATGAGCGAATAAGACGTTCAATTACTTGACAGTCATGTTCTTCTTTCGGCGTAAGTTTTCTAACGTTCGTCGTGCTGGGCTGTATAGAAATTTTTCCATTAGATTTTATCGATTAGAAAGACATGTCATCAAACTTACCACTTCTGGAAGTAGATTTACTGATTTAACAGGAGATGCTATCGGAGTGTTCGCATTAGTAGAACTTTGTGATGATGTTTCAACATCATTCACATTGTTATTTAATGTTTCGCCTTTATTCGATACGAATGATCGAAACAGATTTGGTTGACTTCCACTAAACGCCGAATTGGGTTTTGCAAACGTTTGATTCTGGACATTATGCTGTTGCATATTCTGCATGAATGTCATATCATTGTTCAACATTTTTGGCTGTTGTTGTTGATGCCGTTGTTGATCAAATTCTTTGTTGGTTTGTTTCGTCTGTTTGTTAAACAATGAACTGACCAATTGAGCATCATGAAAATCTGGATGTTTTGTATTAATGTACGCCAATTCAATGCCGACAATATTTTCTACCATGTCATTAGTCGTAGGCAGACGTCGTCGCAATAATTGTGTAACAACATCGACGATTTTTTCATGAAGTTTTGGAAAACGTAACATTTCTTGCTGAATATATGAGTTAGAAAAATCCATTGAAATAAATAAAGATAATAAACCTACCTGAACTTCAGTACCACAATGTTGAATGATACGTTGCATCTCTTCATGAACCAATTCTACACATCGAAGACTTGGTTCTTCCAAACGACGAATCTGTCGCTTGACCAATAATTCGAATGATACTTCGGGTATAAACAATGCTGGACGAGTACCCTTTTCATTTGAGATAACAATGAAAAATAATAAAAAGTGTAAAATTAAAATGACTTTATTCAACACTTACAGTAGCATTGCGAATAGCCGTTAAGATATCGATAGTAGTTAGGCCAGATAAAGGATGTATAGAATCTAAAGTACGGCTAAATGTCTCATGAAAAATATAACAGATTCGAGCACCACCACAAAGTTCGGCCGTTTCAATATTATTAGCGGTACCTTCGATTGTCGAACAATATGATGATGCAAATTTGGTTATTATTTGCAACAAAGTTTGACCCTTTAACGATTTTGAATTAGAAAAGCAAAGAAAAATGTTAAAAACAAAATGCTTACTTTGTCATCGATAGCCATTCCATAGGAATTCATAACCGATTGAAATTGTGAGATGAGCATATTAACACGAGTTTTCAATTCTGGCAAACAATCGCGAATGTGATGCATCAAGAGCTAAAGATTAAGCAAAACAATAATTACAATTAATTTTTTTGTAATTATTAAAAATTACAAAAAAAATATTACCCTATTCAAAGTTTTGGCTAAATACATTGTCCCATTACGGTTGGCCAAAGAAGGATATTTTCTTTGCAGAAAAATAGCCTCATCCTTTAATGCATCTTCAATGGATTTCTTATTGATTATGTCTTGTTGTGATCGACACACACAACCGATGATGCCTAATTTTACTGGAATTATACGACCACATAATACATCAATGGCATCTGTACCAGCATCCATAAGATCTAATTTGGTCACCACTGAAAGCGTACGTCGTCCATCTTTATCAACTTCACGAGCAATTTTCAATGCTTCTGAAGTTGCAAAATCTGTGTTTGCCGGTGTTACAGCCAATATTATTGAATTTGGATTCGATATATATGATAAAATCATTTCGCGTGTTTGTTGTTCAATATCCAATGGTTGATCACCAACTGGAATTTTGGTTATACCCGGTAAATCGACTAGAGTCAAATTAACAACTCGATAAGAGTATATTTTCAAATTAATTGGTTCTGGAGAAATTCCCTTATTATTTCCAGTGATTCGTTCAGTCTCAGCTTCAATCTCTCGTCGTACATCTTCAAAATCGGAATACACTTTGTTTTTAGTATGTAAAAACTTGGCCCATTCATCAAGATTCATGGTTCCTTCGGATACATCGCGTATTGATTTATCCTCTTTATCGACATATTGTAATTGCAATATCAACGGACGGCGAGTGACGATTCCGGCACCACGAGGTAAAAAATCACGTCCAACAATCGATTCCAATACGGAAGATTTTCCCGATGATTGCGTACCAACGACAACAATCTGTGGCAGCTGAATACTTTCGGCACCGATCGTATTGAATACATCTTGTAGTTTATTTATGATTGGTATTAGTGATTCCATTTTTTTCCCAATTCTTTCAACGTTGATTATAAATGCGATGTTAATCAACTGTAAAAAACGTAAAGTTTTACAGCTGATAATTAAATTTGTTGATAATTTCAAATAATAAACATTGAATTCATTAACAAATTAAAAGTGGAATAACAATGAATGATGAATGAATAAAAAATGAAAAATTCTCAAAAAATTTTATCACGAGGTGAATTTCACATGGAATAAAACAAGTTATCCTTGATTTCAACGACGATTCGAGTCCATTTTCAAACTGTATTGAATCAATTTTTTTATTGTCTTCATACACCAATATGCTATATCGACCCCATTGGGATGCAGAATGATTTGTGAAAAATTCGGTCCAGATTTTTTTTTTTGCCACAATCAAATCGTATTGGCAATACACAAACACACACACACACACTCGGAAATAACAGAAAAAAATATTAAAATATATACGCAGTAGATAAAAATTTTATTTAGGGTCAAAAAATCAAAAATTAATGATAATGATGTAATTGATGATTGTGATTTGGTAGCAATTTGACCTTATTAAAATAAAAAATGATGTAGTTTATTTTTTCAAAGATAGATGGCGCGTTAAACACCATGGGTGGGTTAAACATGCATGCATGTAATTGCATATTACTCGCGAGCATTTGTTTTATTTAACTTGTGTGTGTGTGTGTGTATTGTGTGTTTTCAATTTCATATAAATTGTTTCCGAATTTCTATTTCACTCATCCAAAAAAAAAAACTTTAGTCATTAGCATACATAAAATTTGCCATCAAATTTCAATTCAATCATAATTAATTTGTATGAGTGTTTTATCTCAAAAACAAATCCCCTTGATTGATTTACTGCCCATCAACAAAAACATTCGAACAATTAAAAAAATCACCCTAATTAAACGTTTAGTGTGTTTTGTCTTGTAGATCAATTTCAAAAGGTAACATTTTTCTATTTTTTCTTGTTTCACAATAATTTAATTATTTGAATTTGATTTGAAATTTTAATTTGCACATTATATTAGAACAGCAGTATTTAATCAAATTTTCATCAAGTTTTTGTTGTGGAATAATTCGAAAAGAAACTATTGAGCCATGTTCAAACAGCTTCTTTGTCGGTGAGCAATGAATCCTTTTTACTTATTAATTCGATCCAATTAGAACTTCTTTTTTTTGTTATATATCGATAGTTTTTTCCAGCAAGGAGCTTGTGCTTATGGTGATGGTTGTCTGTATTCACATAATCCAAACGAAGCAGTACCTATTCCCGAAGATGTATGCATCTTTTTTCTTCGTTCAAATTGTATGTATGCACAAGGTTGTTCAAGAAAACATTGTACCATAGAGGAAATTGTTCAACAACGTGTCAATAGTGATGATACTCAACAAGCTAAAAAAGATGAAGGCCAAACATCAAATGAAGTAACTCAAGACGCAACAGCGGCTGAGATCAATACCAATACTGATTCATCAAAAGACGCTGTTGTTGCAGCTATTAATACTTTGACATTGTCTTCGTCAGCTGTGAACGAGGCAATCGCATCTACTAGCCAAAATACATCATTGTTGCAAAACGATGCATCCACTTCGAATAGATCTTATGCATCAGCAGCTCAAAATGGTTTCGAAGAAAATGACACAAATCGTGCATCGCTTCCATTGTGTACGTTTTTTCAATCTCATGGATTCTGTGTCTATCAGAATTGTCGATCAATTCATGGCGAATTATGTGATCTGTGTGGATTTTATTCCTTACATCCATATAATAAACAACAAAGTGATCTCCATCGATCGGTAATTTTTTGCTTTAAATTTAATCAAAAATTATTATTAATGAATATCTTATTGATAATAGGAATGTATCAAAGAACATGAAGAATCAATGGAACTATCGTTTGCTTATGCACGAAGTAAAGAACTAACCTGTGCCATTTGTTTGGATGTTGTTGTGGAAAAAGAACCACGTGCACAACGACGATTTGGCATTCTTGAAAATTGTTCTCATGTTTATTGTATTGAATGTATTAGGAAATGGCGTAACGCACAGGATATGGACAAGAAAAATAAACGAAATTGTCCACAATGTCGAGTCAAATCGGATTTTATCATACCGAGTCAATATTTTTATGATGACCAAACACAAAAGGCAAAATTGATTGAAGACTATAAAAAAGCTTTAGGGTATGTTGTGTGGATGTTTAGAATCGTACATTTTTTTCTGAAAAACTAAATTGACATTTTTACAGATCCAAACATTGTAAATATTTCAGACGTGGTCGTGGAAATTGCCCATTTGAAGGTGCCTGTTTTTATAAACATCAATATGAAGATGGTCGTATGGCCGTATTACCAAAGCCATCGAAAAATCGACATCGTATAGATCGAGTTGATTTTTTGCCATTTATTTTTCTTGACGTTAGTATTTGTTTTACGAGTATTTTTAGTCTTACCATATTTTTCCATTAATAATAGGACGCATTTCCTGAATTTGATGATGATTATTTATCAGCATCGGATATTGATTTTCTCGATTATGATGACGACGACGATGATGATGATTGGCAATATCATTTGTAATTATCCGAGAACAAATGCGGTTAACCATCAAATGGATTCTCATCATAAATGATAATTTCTTTCATCAATACCTCTAGCCAATTTTAGGGTGGAATGTGTTCGTCAGAATTATACTAGAGATAATCTTAATATTTATCCTCATTAAAAAAAAATCAATCAAAAAACAAAAAAACAAAGCGCATTCGTCTAAATCATAATCATTTTCATTTCATTTTTGTGTTGTTTCATTTCACGATTCAATTTCATTCCTAAATTAAGCAATATTGTGATAGTGAATCTTGTAGACGAGCGCTCATTCATTCACACTTACATACATACATACATACATACTCTTCTATTCACACGCAATTAGACCACCTCAAAAAGAAATTTATCCGTAAAATTTTTTTTGTGATATCTCTTAATTTCATTTAAAATTGTCCCCTTTGTTTTCAATGAATCATCATTCAAATTATCTTTTTCATTGTGTGTGTAGCTTTGGAAACAAAAAAAAAAACAAAATTGAGGATTTCAATAATAAAGTTTTTATTTTATTTCTTTGAAATCTTTCAGTGAGAAAAAAATGAATTAAAATTTAAAAAACAGTTACGATTACGATGATTTGAAAAAGAATATTTTTTGTTTCACAAATCATTTCAGTTAATAAAAATGATAATAATTAGCTTATAATGAATTGTATATGCTAATTGTATAGATAAAATATGTCCGAAATCAATAAAATAAATGACATTTATGATAATGATGGATAGGAAAAAAGTGGATCTGTCTGTGTGTATGTGCGTGAATAAGTGAACACTTCAATCATGATATTGTGTCAAATCGATTGTATAGATTTGACTAATGGTACAATCTCCTGGTGCTGATGCCACACCAACCAATGATGATGCATGACCATAAAATTCTTCTTTCAACGATATGACAATACATTGAAATGATGAATCGGTTTTTTCACGAATAAATCGAGCAACTTTACTAATATTTGTATTATCCAAAGCTGCATCTACTTCATCGAGAATAAAAAATGGTGCTGGTTTATATGAATGTATGGCAAATAATAATGCCAATGCTGCAACCGTTTTTTCGCCACCAGATAAATTTGACATGGGTTGAAAACGTTTTCCTGGAGCTACACAATTATAGTTAATGCCTTCCAGATATGGTTCTTCAGGATTTTCGGGCACCAAAAATGCCTGAGCTGATGCATTGTTGGTCAGAGATTTGTAAATGGAATCGACACGTTGTGCGACACTTTCGAAACACATGGTGAAATCTTTTAGTCTTGCTCGTTTCACTTCTTCGAATGCTAATTTAGCTTTTTTCGATGCTATCCTCAGGTTGTTCACTTCATTGTCCGTTTCTTTTAATCTATCTTTGACATCTTCTAATCGATCGATCGCCCTAAGATTTGGTGCTTGAATTTTCTGCAGAATGTCCAACTTTTGATTAATTTCCTGTTGTAATTCGGCCTCTTTCTTTTTAATCTGATCTGGTTCGCAAATGTTTTTGAGAGAATTTTTAAGCTGTGAAAAATCTGGCTTAATATTAGCATCATTTTCATAGTTTCGTTGAGTGGATGGACCATCATCATCATCATCGTCATCCATATCTTGAGACCCAATACCATTTTCAACGCCATTTGATCGTTGTGATCCAACGGTCATTTCATGCAATGTTCCAGATACCAAAGGAAGATTGATACATTCCATTTTACAATGCGTCAGCACAGAATGTCTATCAGATTTTCGTGATTCAAGTTTACATTCGATCGTCATCAATGATTTCTGTGAACTAGATAATTCTCGTTGGACCGACGATAGTCCTCGCTTAATTTCAGTGATTTCATCTTCAACCGAATCACATTCGGTTTTTTTCGAAATTTTATCATTCTTAAGCTGTTCAACTTTTTTCATCTCCTCTTCTATAGCTTGCATTTCACGTTTTTCAGTTTCACGGGCCTTCAAAAAAAAAAAAAAAAAATTAATTTTTTCTATTATAAAAAAATCAATTAAAATCTTTTAAACCTTACCATTTCGAGATTATTCTCTTCCTCTGCAACGACACGTTCCCAACGTTTGACATTTTCATGGGTATCTTTACTTCTCTCATAAGCCAATCTAGATGTAATTGAATTTTTTTCATTTTCAATCTGCAATCGAATCCGTTCATTTTCTTGTGCAGCCATATTTTGTCGCTCTTCATATTGGCGAATATTTTCCACACCAAGTGTAACACAAAAATCTTCAAAAATTTTATCCTCAACAGTATTCATCTGTTGTCGTAGTTGTTTGATTAAAACATCTCTTTCGGTCATTCGATCTTGAATTTCTTTCAGTATTGGTTCAAAACTGCCCAAACTATCTCTATTTGATTGTATTTCTTTGGTTATTTCTTCATTATTCTTTTCTGTTGTAATTTTATCATTACGAGAATATTTGATTCGAGTATCCAGACCTTTAATCTGGCTGGCTAATGTCATCAATTCACTTTCTTTACGCATACGTTTCATTTGTTCTTTCAATTCTTCGGAAAGTTTTTCCTTCTGATATTTTAATGCATGTAATTCTTTTTCATCCCAACGACGTGCTCGTTTTTCCAGGTCAGCACTACCACCGGAAATGAAACCACATTTTTGATAAAATGTACCATCCAATGATACAGCATCATAACGTTGACCATCACCAAGATCGAATGCAACCAAATTTGCATCTTCAGCTGTTTCACAAACAAGAGCATTATTGGTTGCATACAATACTGCTTTTTTAATGGCTGGTGGATCATATTTAATTACGTCATATAAAAGTTTCACGCCTTTTGGATATTGTATATTACGCAATCTTTCTTTGACAGCTTTTACTTCAATATAATCCAATGGTAGAAATGTTTCTGGTTCCAACATTTGTTCTTTCAGATATTGGATACATGATCGACCCGTTTTTTCCGTATCGACAACGATAGCATTCATATTTTTACCCATCACTTTGGTGACGGCAATATTATATCGTTTATGAATCGGTTTGCAAAGATTCAATAGACGATCATAGACACCTGGATATAATTTCTTTAGATTTTCAACAACTTCTGCTTTTTTGTTTCGCCGTTCTGTTTCGTGTCGATCAACTTTTGCATCACCCAGCTCTTTATTAATCTCTTCCAGTCGAGAGGTGATTTTTTCCACTTGTTCTTTGGCTGCATTTACAACCTCTTCGATTTCTGCTTTTTTCTTAATTAATTCTTGTAGCTGTTGTTCGGAGGATTCAGTGTTATCTTTAAGTTTTTCAATACGTTTATTATTCTCTTCATAATTTACGGTCAACAATTGAATCCTTGATTCGATGGCATTCTTTTTACGCATCTCTGAATCATAACGATCCTGATCGGCTTTCTGTTCTCGTTCATAAGAATCTAGATCTTTCATATATTTAGCCGTCAATTTTGTCACTTCTTCCTTCAATCGATTATATTCTTTTCGTTGTGATTCTTCTAATTCTACATTCACTTTAAACATTTCTTTTTCTTTTTCAACTTTAGCTTCAAATTCCTCTTGTTTTTCGACAATTTTTGCCAACTCTTCTTCGAATTCTCTGATGGTATTCTGATGATTTGCATGAGCTTTTGAGGCTGCAGCTCTAGATTTTTTAGCTGTTTCCAGTTTCTTTTCAATATGTGCAGCATTCTCTTTTGCTTTAATGTAAGTCGGTCGTTTTTTATTCAGATTCAATTCAACATCTCGAATTCGTTTGTCAATATTTTGCAAATCTTTGGTTATTTTGGCCAGATTTGATCGTTTTTCACGAATATCAGTATCAATTTTTTCTTTTGATTTTAGATACTTTTCCATTTCTTTACGTTTACGTTCCATTTCGTCATTAAGTTGATCGATATCTTGTTGAATATTGTACAATTTAAATAATTGAAGTTCATTTTGAACACGGCTTAATTCTTCTTTAAGATTTTGGTATTTTTTAGCTTCATTAATTTCGCCTTGTGCTTCTTTCTTTTCGGCTGTAATACCTTTCTTTTTCATGTACATGTGATGTAGTTCTTCTTCCGATCGATCCATCATGACTTTTTTATTTACATATTCATCTTTGTATTCATTACTACGGGATATTTCTTCAAAAAGTGATGTTATTTCTTTCGGATTTTTCATTGCAATCGATTCGACAGCACCTTGATAAACGAGAAAATTTCTTGCCTTAATGTTGATGCCCAATTTTTCCAACAATTCAGCATAATCTTGTTTCGAAACTGAATTATCATCGACACGATATTCTGAGCTAGATCCCTGTACCAACCGGGTGAAATTGGTAATACGACCAGTGTCAATATCTTTGTAGACCAATGTAACGGATGCATTGTTGCTAACTGGACGGCCAATTGATGCACCATGAATTAATTCGGATAGTTTTTTCACTCGGAGATTGGCTGTTTTTTCACCCAGCACAAAACTGATTGCATCCATGAAATTGGACTTACCAGAACCATTTGGTCCAATAATTGCCGTAAATTTTTTAAGCGGTCCAATTTTCTGTAATCCATTGTAGGATTTGAAATTCTCGACCATCAAATATTCTAGAATGCCTGGCATTTTTTTTCATTAGATGTTGATGTTGATACAGTTGATTGACAAAGAATGATATTTTTCAATTCATATCAAAAAAAAAAAAAAATTGATTGTTGTTGGACGATCCAATGATGGTTCAACGACTGTATACAATACAATACAAATAAAAAGAGAGGGAGAGGGAGAGTATCTCTCAAATACTCAAATGACAGCTACATTGTTCATAAACAACGACCCGATATAGACCCAAAAAATTTATATTATCGCAATTATCAAGTTTTTTTTCAAATTCAAACAAATAAATATCTTTATTTATAAATGCAACAATTCAGTTAATATGTCATTTTTTTTTGATTAAATCAAAAAAAATTAATTAACTCGTAGTTTATGAAATTAATTGTTTGATTCCCTCCTTTTCATGATTATCATCAGACGATTTCGATCTTAGTGAACCTATCATGTCGATATAAATCCATTCACATGCATGCATGCATCTGTTCATTTTTTTTTAATTTTATTTTCGAATCTTCTGTTGATTAATAATAATATAATATATCATTGTTACAACATGGATAAATCATTTTTCGAAACGCCATACATCAACGATGATAAAACATGTGCAACATTCAAGTTTTTCTTTGAAGATCACACGTTAGCTAATGTTCTAAGGTTTGTACTTTTTTTTTTGTTCATGAATCATATCAAATGATGATCAATAAAAATATTGACAAAATAATTTGTTTCTCTCTCTTTTTTTTGTTTTGTTTTATTCATTTTATCCCATACGAAACATACAGGAATCAAATACTAGAGAATCCAAACGTTGAATTTTGTGGTTATTCCATACCACATCCAAGTGAAGAATATTTTCAATTACAAATTCAAACACGTAATGGTTTAAATGTTTATGATGCCCTGTTGAATGGTTTTGAAGAGCTATCTAAACTTTGTGATAAGACAAAAAAATTATTCATAGAAGCTGTTGATAAATTTAAAATTGATAATAATATGTCTTAACATAATAAAAATATATATAATTTCAAAAGAGAAATTTTTTCTTTTATCTAATATCAATACATGCATTCAGTAGCTGTTAGATATTGCCGTTCATTGCTTGATTGGTACTTAGTTATCATTAAATTGCGTTTGCTAATAAAAAATGGATTGATATGAAACCAGAAAAAGCTAGGTTAGTTTGTTAGTGAATTCATTCCAATATTCGGTTGTTAATAAATACTTGTTGTCAATACAGATCCCACCTAAAGAAAATCATGGAATCACCAAAATCACCGTCAAGAAAATGCTTTGAAGGTAATATCTATATTCGAACACCTTTGGTAGAATCGATTGAACTTCGGAAATATTGTGCTGGTCGACAGGTTTATCTTAAAATGGAAAATTGTCAACCATCGGGTAGTTTTAAATTAAGAGGAATTTCTAATCTTTGTAAATATGTGAGTGATTGTCTATTTTATCTGTGTTTTTGAATTTTAAATGAAACGAATCAAAACCAGGCAGTATCGAACGGATTTACGGAGGTGGTATGTCCATCCGATGGAGATGCAGGTTTAGCTACAGCGTTTTCCGCAATGAAAATGGAAATTCCCTGTCATATTATTGTGGGACAGAAAACACCAATGGTTGTTTGTGATGCCATGAGATCTTATGGTGCTACATTGGAACGTTATGGTGATACGTGGGAAGAGGCAAACAAACATGCTATCGAAACCATAACCAATACAAAGACTGCATTTTTGGTCCATCCATTTGATCATTTAGCTGTTTGGTAATGCTCAATGAACATTAGGCTTATTTATTGGAATTAATTGAATTCATCATTCATTCGATCATAGGCAAGGACATTCAACTATTATCGATGAGATTGTTGAAGATCTTGATGGACAAGTTCCATCGATAATCGTAACCAGTTGCGGTGGTGGTGGACTAATCTGTGGTCTTGTTCAAGGCATCCGACGACATGGTTGGGAAAAACGCACAAAAATATTGGCCATTGAAACCGAAGGAACGCATTCATTTAATCTATGCGTAAAAGCTGGTGGTAAACGTGTTCGATTGAATGAAATTAGTTCAATCGTCCATACATTAGGTGCTTATGAAGTTTGTGAACAAGTTGTGCAATATTTTCGTGAATGTAATCCACCGATTTTATCGCGTCTGGTGAACGATGCCGAAGCAGCAGAAGCTTGTATTCGTTTTGCAAATGATCACAGATGTTTGGTAGGTTTAGGTTCGGCAACTACAATGGCTTCTGTTTATACCGGTATCGTTGAACGGATATTGACAAAAAATGAAGATCTACATGAAACACTTTATGATCAACGTGATGAACAAGAAATGAATGAAACTGAAGGTCCGATCGTCATTCTGGTATGTGGTGGTGGTGAAGTAAATCTGAATATTATTGAAGAAAATCGAAAATTATTTAATTTACATAAAATTTAAAATTTTTATCACAATAATTAAATGTAGTCTCTTCACTTTAAAGAACTTTCAAAATAATTTCTGATAAAATCAACATTAAATACATAATGAACACAATAAATGTATCTGTTGAGATGGAAAAAATAAAGTCGATTTCTAATCATTTTTTTTTCTATCAATGATAATGATTGATGTCAAATTATCATTTTGTCAACAAAATGAATGGAGCCTTCAACAAATATATTACGATTAAGATTCATTTTGTTAGATTCATAAATTGAAAAAAATGAATTCACCGAAATTGTCATCAAGACAAAATTTCAATGGAAATATCTATGTTCGAACACCATTGATTGAATCCGTTCCACTTCGAAAATATTGTGCTTATCGAAAGGTTTATCTGAAAATGGAAAACTGTCAACCATCAGGCAGTTTTAAATTAAGAGGAATTTCAAATCTTTGTAAATATGTGAGTAATTATGTAAATTTAAATAGTTTTTGTTTGAAATTCAAAAAAACCTCAAAAATATAGGCTTTATCGGCTGGATACACAGGAGGTAGTTTGTCCATCCGGAGGAAATGCAGGTTTAGCCACGGCATATGCAGCTATGAAGCTAAAAATACCATGTCATATAATTGTTGGACAGAAAACACCCAGTATAATTTGTGATGCAGTTCGAGAATATGGAGCTACTGTCGAACGTTATGGTATAGTCTGGGAACAGGCAAATCAGCATGCAATTGAAACGACAATCGATTCAAAAACAGCATTTTTGGTACATCCATTTGATCATCAAGCTATATGGTATTAATTATTAATTAAAATTAATTTTCTAAAAAGTACTCACATAGTTTTTTTTGCAAAGGCAAGGGCATTCGACAATTGTTGATGAAATTGCACAAGATCTTGATGGTGAAATACCATCTATCATTGTAACGTGCTGTGGCGGCGGTGGACTGTTATGTGGTATCGTTCAAGGTATTCGGCGACATGGTTGGGAAAAACGTACAAAAATATTAGCCATGGAAACGAAAGGAACACATTCATTCAATCTTTGTGTAAAAAATGGTGGACGTCGGACTCGACTCAATGAAATAACATCACTAGTCAGTTCTTTGGCTGCAAATGAAGTTTGTGAAAAAGTGGTGGAATATTTTCGTGACAATCAACCACAAATTTTATCACGTTTGATTACCGATGTTCAAGCAGCCGAAACTTGTGTTCATTTCGCAAATGATCATCGATTTCTGATCGGTTTAGCTTGTGCCACTTCGATTGCTGCTGTTTATACAGGGATCGTTGAACGAATCATCACCAAGAATGAAGACCTTCACGAAAGCTTATATGATAAAAGAGATGAACAGGAGATGACTGATAATGAGGGACCTATTGTTGTGATTGTATGTGGCGGATGTGAAATCTCTCTTAATCATTTGAAAGAATATCGTGATTTATTTGGTTTAAATGATATTTGAGAATAAAATGAATTTGAATTTTCCACTATTTTCACCCATTCGAGTCGCATTTTGAATAGGTCATCTGGCTGCAGACACTCAAAAGTCGATTGAAAACGAAAACATTTCCATCAATTCATGATTATCTCCGGTGTTTAGCAAAAATTTCGTGTTTCAGTGCAAAATGATCAATCTATCACGTTTCGCAAAATATCTGGACCGATTATCGATGGTCAACAATGGTGCCAAAAATCTGGCACCAACATTATCGGCTATGAATAACTTGTCTGTTGAGCAACGGCGTTTTGCTAAAAAATGGTATCCAGACAAACAATACTTTCAAGAATTTGAAGACGAATGCTTTTTAGTTCAACAAGAATATCCTGGAAAAATTTCAAGAAATGTCACTAGATTAAATCCTCAAATGAGATTTCGAAACGTTGTAATCAATTTTGGTCCACAACATCCAGCTGCACACGGTGTGTTAAGATTGGCTCTTGAACTTCGTGGTGAATATGTAATTCGTGCTGATCCTCATATCGGTCTTCTTCACAGAGGAACCGAAAAACTAATGGAATATAAAACATATACGCAAGCTTTGCCATATATGGATCGGCTTGATTATGTATCAATGATGACTAACGAACAATGTTATGCTTTGGCAATCGAAAAAATGTTGAATATTAGAGCACCAAAACGAGCACAATATATTCGAGGTAAATTGATATTTGCTGCAAATTTAAAATCAAATAATAAATCAACATTTTTTCCAGTTTTATTTGGTGAAATAACTAGGATTTTAAATCATCTAATGGCCATCGGTACTCATGCTCTTGATGTTGGTGCATTGACACCATTCTTTTGGCTTTTCGAAGAACGAGAAAAAGTTTGTATTTTTGTATTTTATTTTTCAACTAAATTAAAGCAAACATTCAATAGTTGATGGAATTTTATGAACGAGTAAGTGGTGCCAGAATGCATGCTGCATATGTTCGTCCTGGAGGGGTATCCCAAGATTTACCAATCGGCCTTATGGATGATATATACACATGGGCATTAAATTTTGTCCAACGTGTTGATGAAATAGAAGATTTGCTTACCGAAAGCCCTATCTGGAAGGATCGTACTGTTGATATTGGTATCGTTTCGGCTGAAGATGCTCTAAATTTTGGTTTCAGTGGTGTCATGTTACGAGGTAGTGGAATCAAATGGGATCTACGTAAAACTCAACCATATGATTCGTATGAAGAATTCGATTTTGATGTGCCCATCGGTATCAATGGTGATTGTTATGACAGGTAATTTGTTGAAAATTTATGGTTGTTGAATTTTTAATCAATGTTTTTAATCAATCTGTCATTAGATACCTGTGCCGCATGCACGAAATGCGTCAATCAATCCGTATAATCAACCAAGCATTGAATAATATGCCACCAGGTGAAATCAAAATTGATGATAACAAAATTGTGCCACCAAGTCGTGCAGAAATGAAAAATTCAATGGAAGCTCTTATCCATCATTTCAAATTGTTCACCGAAGGTTATCAAGTTCCAGCTGGTTCAACCTATACTGCAATCGAAGCTCCGAAAGGTGAATTCGGATTGTATATCGTTAGCGATGGCACATCGCGGCCATATCGATGCAAAATTAAAGCACCTGGATTTGCTCATCTTGCCGCTCTTGATCATATCGGTAAAAACCTTTTCCTTGCCGATATTGTCGCCATCATAGGTACACTGGACATTGTGTTTGGTGAAGTTGATAGATAGACAATTAAAGTTGTTTTGTGTTGTATAAAGTGAGAAATATTAAAAAATCAAATTTTATCTAATTATTAAAATAGTTTTTATTATTACTTTTTAAAAATAATTTAAACAAATCAACAATCTTAACATAACAGTAGATAGGTTTAGAAAACTTCTTTCTTAAAAACAAAATCGTTTTCATTACATTTTTGCCTTAAATATCCACTCAAATCGGGTCGACCACAATAGAAAAATGTTACTTTTCCACGTTTTTGTTGTCGAATATTATGAAAGATACTATTCCATTCTGGTCGACCAAAATGCCAATTAATCATACTATGTGAACGATCAATTATCGATGAACCTTTTGTCCGTTGATTATGATCGTTTGACTTTTCGCCATCCTTATTCGTTACGTACATATGGATGTCAAAGAAACGATCATCTTTGATCGAAATTGTCGATTGTTGTTCAACCAAATCAGACAACATTTCTACAAACCACTCAAAGCTTGTTTGGTTCCGATTAATCCAGATGAAATCAACTTTTTTCAAATTGTTTATATGTCTAGATGGTACTCGTTCGGTCCAACTATGGTTACATAATGGACAATGGCGAGTTTTCTCAATATGTCGATACATGATGCTCTGTAGTATCGATGCAAATGGAGTCACACCGATTCCAGTCGCAACCAAAACGGCATGTTCGCTTTCAAAAATGTTAGATGAAGGAGCACCATAAGGACCATCCAAATGTATCTTTAACGGCTCTTTCAGAAACACTGCATTCGTTTGAACATCTTTATGAATATTTTTCAATAATGTCAAAGGTTTTTGTATGTGATTTTCCGATTCACGATTCATTTTAGAATCATGCGATTCGGACGTTGATTGTGATGAAATCTGATTCAATTCAATAGTCACCATACCACTGCCGGATTCTGATTCGCTATCCGAATGTTCGATGCTGATCTGTTTTTTAATTTTGCCACAACCATCTTCATCACAGTCTTCTGGAACTGGCAATATCATGGTACGTTTCTGCATTAAACTACCGGCACTATGATGATGGCCACAATTGATATCAAATTTGTTGATTGGATCTGTATCTTTAAATAATGGATGAAAATCCAGACATTTCCATTCTTCAAGCATCTTTTTCAATGTCAAAGTTTTAGCATTATCAAAATGATCGTACAATCGATTAGTCCATTCACCAACAGCCCGTATATGTAACGTCAATTCTATAATTGTGATCAATTACACAATAATGGTAATAAAAATACAAGCTTACCTTTGTCCTCTGGAGCTGAACTAATGGTCATCGGATGCCATTCATATTTGGTGATTGATGGTACCATCATGTAAACAAAATCACCGGGAACAAAATGAAAATACTTTGGTTTTCGTATTATTAGACGTATGACACGAGACGGTAACATTGTTCCTTCAATCACATATGTTTGGCCATGATGATATTTTTTCGTTCGATAATAAGCGGAAATTTTTTCAAATAACAAAAATATCAATGGTGCTGTCAACCAATGAAGTGTTGAGCTAGCATGCAAAAATAGGACCAGAATGTAAAAAACATAAAGCTTGTGGGAATAATAGAAAACCTTGATAAAATTCAATGTTAGAATGATTTGATCTGCTCAAAATGAATTGTTAAACATACTTCAAAATTTCCTGTGCGACGAATAAAATTCATTGAAAATATCAACATTACCACCAATATAATGACCAAAATCCAACCGGTAAGACATGCAGAACCGAAAAACCATCCAATGCCAAGATTGACAGAGACAAGAAAATCGATATATGATATTGTCGTAATATTTGTTAATTTGGCAAAATTATACAAATGTGCAAGTGTATGAACCAATGAAAAAAATGCAATAGACCATCCGGTTACTTTATGGAAATAGACATAATGATCCAAGGGAAAATATCGTGCCAAACCAAATGATCGAACATAGCTGATTGATTTTCGTAATATTAAAACAATAATCAAACCAGATTGCCAATAAATTGCAATGGCCGAAGCACGAGCAATAGCCAATGCAATTGTTGTGTCCGCATATTGACCAAATCGATAAATAAACAACGATAATGTTATGGCAATGTATATGATGGTGAAGAAAAAACTTTGAAAATTATTACGAATATAACCCCAACGAAGCTTATGAAATAATAAAGTCATGATTATTGTCGAACGAAAGATAAGTTTTGATTTGAAATAAAATGAAAAATGGATAAATTCGACAAAATAATTTGGAAAAATAGTATTTATTTTTTTTAGTAAAAAATCAGTTTCATCTTTAATCATTTTTTTTTTGATATGACATGTGTATGAAAAAAAAATCAACTTGAATCACATTAACTTGACTATGATGATGGTGATGATGATGATGTTGGCGGTTTGATCGGTTTCAATGATTGTTCCATCTGTTTGATCCGTTCCATTTCATATGCATAATTTTCATCTTTTTTCTGTTTCAATTGTTGCAAATATTCGGCACGTTTTCGAATATCACGTGTCTGTGTGGTTAATGTTGACATTTCTTTTTGAATATTACGTAATTTTCGTAAATAAATTTCCATCTCAGACATGGTTCTATTGAAATCATTCTGTTCAACTAAATTGGAATATCGTTCATTTTCTTCTGATAATAATTTACAAATGGAATCATGATGAGTAATAACTTCTTCGATTAATCGTTCGCTCATTTTAGTAGTTGTTTAAAAAATTTTATAAATAAATTTAGTTCTGTTGTGATTGAATAAAAACGTGACAAAATGTAAAGCTATTTACACATGACAGCAAATACTGGACGAAAATAGAATGATGATGATATGAACAATTTGAAAAAAGGACTTGTTCAGTTTCAACAATCCGAACAATAGATTAAATATCTGGGAACACTATGGTATAAAACATTAAAGCCAAACATGTTAAAGCCAAACATGTTAAGTCCACGATAAAATGAACCAGTTTCGTATCTTATTCGAAGTTTTAACTTTCGACATTTATGACATATGAACAATACTCTTTGTAGATGATCATAAATTTGTTTAGGAGTTTGTCGATAATCAAAAAGTTTTTCCCTCAATTTAAAATTATTAATGGCAATTTCCAAACATTTTCCATATAAAGTATCTGCTTCGAATGGATATCGTTCAGATGGTATTTTTGGTAATGAGTAATCTTCATGTTTTCTCCATGGATTGGGATCGATCTTGAAGATACCATGGAATTCATAATCAAATTCTCGAGGCAGGCTTGAAGATGCATAAAAAGGAAAAGCACGCATAGAATTGTGGGAAAAATCAATTTTAGAGTATTGAGAAGGATTACGAAAAAAATGATATAATAACGATAAAGGAAAATGTTCGATTCGGTTATGATTGAAATCAAGAACAATGCACTTTTCCAACCGAATAATTTCATACGGTATTATTCGGATAAGATTATGACTAAGATTTATTGTTTTCAACCGATGCATTTCTTGTGTAAACCACATAGGAATTTCTTCAATTTGATTATCACTCATATTTAAATGAGCTAATTGTTTTAATTGATTCAAGACGAAAGGGATTTTGTTCAGTTTACAGCCAGTTATGGTGAGCTCTGATAAGTTTTTTAATGACCATAACTTATCGATTTGTTGCCATCTTAGGGTCGTAATACTTTCAATTTTGACATTCGATAAAATAGGATTGTCCAATTTTTTTATTTGATTAACAATATTGATCAATGCACTTCTTGGCATCATTTTAGATTGCAAAATGGTTTCCACGGATGGTACTGCCGGCAATGGCTGATGATTTACAAGTATTTTCCTTGCTAATCTTTTGAACATGGCAAAATTGAAAAATCAACATTTTTCAACATGATCAGTTTTTTTGGATTCGTAATAACAAATGTATCACCACGTATAACTACATTCGATGCAATCAAACGAAATCGATCTTTTTGTTTATTACGTACGATGACCAGATAATAACGATGATCTTTTTTATCAAAACCGATACCAACTTTTGCCTGAGAATAACGATTTGGCGGTGAGTTTGGATCACTTATTGAAACATCACAATCAATAATCATCTTCAGTTCTTTTTCGATAATTTGTTTTCAGCTGAATTCTTAAACATAAAAAGCATTTTCTAATAAAGCGCAAAATTGAAAACACACAATTGAACTATTTCAACATTAAAAGACCAATCAAAGCAAAATATGTGAACAAATTTGAATGAAAAGTTATTTTTACTGACTGGATTACTCAACAATAATATCGATGAAAATAAACGAAAACATTAATAACTAAGAAATAATCATCGAAAGATCAAAATATTATGAAACAGATTAGAGTATGTTAACAATATCAGGTTCAATATTTTTCGGCTCAACTGTTGGCGCATAACGTTTAATGGCACGACCTTCTTTGTTGACCAAAAATTTAGTAAAATTCCATTTAATGCCATCGAATCCAAGAAATCCATGTTGTTTAGCTTTCAACCACTTGTACATTGGATGAGCTGAATCGCCTACAAAGGATATAGTTACGAGGATTTTAATGAAAATTTGAAATTTAATCATAACAAACATACCATTGACATCAATCTTTGCAAACATATCAAATCTTACACCATTCTTTTTGATGAATTCTTTAATCTCCACATCGCATCCAGGTTCTTGTCCACCGAATTGATTGCATGGAAATGCGGCAATTTTAAGGCCTTTCTCTTCGAATTGATCATACAATTCATTCAGTTGCTTATAATTCGCTTTAGTTAATCCACAATGTGTGGCCACATTAACTACCAACAATGGATGACCTTTGTATTTTTCCATCGATACCTATCAATAATAATGAGTAATTAATATACACTTTCATATGATAGTACAATTAAAGTACAAGGAAAAAAATTACACAAACTTACATCATTACCATCGATGTCTTTAGCAGAAAAATCATAGATAGTTTCCTTTGATTTCCAATCGCTGTCACCAGACATTTTTCTTGTTTGAATATTGTTGATAGAATTCAAATTTTTAGACAATAAACACAATAATGATGTTGATGATGGAATAATAATTTGTTTATTCACTGTAAATGATGTTGTTGTTGCGATCAAGTCGTAAGTGCGAATGATAATGGTTGCAATGCTGTTCATCTGTAATGGTAGAGAATACAGTCATATTTTTGTTTCATAAATTTGCACTATAGTCAAATTGATGATTGTCACAAACTATTGATAATCAAACAGTACACGCACATATAGAGAGAAGGAGAGAAATTGTTTCTAGAAAAATTTGGAATTGTTAACCAAAAACAAACTTGGAAAAGTGAAGCATACTACTAATATATGATGATGACTAACATTACCATTTTTTTTTATTGATTGATTGACCCAACCAACATTACATACTTGAAACAACATAGTACTACACCCAATATATAGAAAAAATTAAAAATGAAAAAAATTATCATTTGCTCGTATAGTAGTCATTTTATATTCAGTTATTCGATTGAACAAGTGCGTGATCATTTATAGTTTGTCATTTTTTAACTTGGAAAACAAGTCATTTCATTTTCACCGAATCCTCCCCCCTTTTCTTTTATTCCTGTCAATCGATTTCTCTGATCATCGATTTAAAAAACCAACATTAACAACATATCGACCTTGATAGTCACGCATATATACACTTGTTGTTGTTATCATCAACGTCTTGAGTACATATACATCCAATCATTCGTATCTGATATGAATCTTTTATGTTTAAATGATAATATCAAATAATCAAATAAATGGCTATAAAATCAAAGCGAGTTCCATTTAATTAAGAAAATTAATTAATACCTGATAAAATGATAAATTTAATCGATGAAGGTTGATGATGATGATGATGATAATCAACTGTATATAAATTTTTTTTTTTGGATAGGAGTTAGTAGCTGTATAATCAAAAAAAAAGCGATACGATATTCGTTTTAGCTTACCTTTTCTGATGATTCAAATATAGTTGTCACACTACCATTCAATTTAATAATTCTATCAATCATAAATTAGAACGTATGAATCAGTGTTTAGTGATTAGGATATTTTGAACCAAAATGTTGAATGAAGTGTAAACAGCCAATACCCAAAACAAACTCAAAAATGAGATTTGAATATCATTCGATAAAAAAAAGCTCATTAAGTTAATATAGGAATCGACTATTCTAACTTTTTGGAAAAGAATTAGGGGGTAAGAACAACATGCATGTTCATAATACATGCATTTACACCCCTCTCTCTTTATGATGATTATTTTTATATTTATTACAATAAACATGATGATGATCATTAGAATTTGAAAAATTCATTTTTTGACTTGCTCACCCAAATCAAATTAATGAAAATTTAATCAAATGATTAATTGTCAATAATGAACATATGATTTATATTGACAGTTGATGATAACGTTAATCAATCAATCAATCAATCAATCATGTTATTATTGGTGAACATTTATGAATCATCATCAATAGATTCATGTCATAGTTGATCATATAATATTTCCTATTTGAATTTATCGAATAAATGTAGAAACAAACGTATAAACAAATTGTGTTCGTTGTTGCTATACAAAACAAGGAATCGACAAAAAAAACAAATATAGACATAACTAATTTATATTCAATTGTCGTCTACAATTATTGCATACAAAAGCATTAATAAAATTCTTCATCATCATCATCATCATCACTCAATCGACGATTTCAAACATCATCTTCCTCAATTGTGATCATCATATGAGTACATTCAACTAACCAACCAACCAATGTAGTGGCCGGAAAGCCAATTGACGAAGAAAAATAATGAAAAATGTCTATATGACTATCAAATGATTGTATTCAAAACTAAAAATATTATTTTTGTGGCGTACATTGTTTTAGATATATATTTACAATAGAATAAATACCAATCGGAATCAAAAATTTTATTTGATTTTCAAAATAATTAGCAGACAAAAGTTATAATCAAAAAATTTTTTTTAATGTCACTGGAAAAGTTAAGCGAACAACAATTAACCAGACAGCCTGAAGAAGTTTTCGACATTCTTTGTAAATTAGGTAATGTCTCAATATTTTATATTGCATTTCGAATTCAATTAACGTATTTTTTACTTTAATTATCTGACTCTGTTTGGCAAAAAAATAAATACAGGCGAAGGTTCCTATGGATCCGTATACAAAGCATTACATAAAGAATCTGGTCAGATACTTGCCATCAAGCAAGTACCAGTCGAAAGTGATTTGGGTGAAATAATCAAAGAGATCTCTATTATGCAACAATGCGAAAGTCTTTATGTGGTTCGATATTTTGGAAGCTATTTCAAAGGTATTTTAACATTATTCATAAATTACAATTATATAAATTTAAATCGATAATTTCCAAATGATGATGATAATGATGAATGAAGGTTCAGATTTATGGATCGTTATGGAATATTGTGGTGGTGGTTCTGTCAGTGATATAATGCGTTTCAGGAAAAAAACCTTGACCGAAGCTGAAATATCGATCATATTACAGGATACGTTGATGGGTTTGGAATATTTGCATACACATAGAAAAATTCATCGCGATATTAAAGCAGGGAATATTTTGCTTAACAATGAAGGACATGCCAAACTTGGTAATGTTTAAATTTTTCTTTTACAAATTACATTTTATATTAAATTTTTTTTTCCAGCCGATTTTGGTGTTGCTGGGCAACTTACCGATACAATGGCAAAGCGTAATACTGTAATTGGCACGCCATTTTGGATGGCACCAGAAGTTATTCAAGAAATCGGTTATGATTGTTTGGCCGATATTTGGAGTCTGGGAATAACGGCGTTAGAAATGGCCGAAGGTAAACCACCTTACGGTGATATACATCCGATGCGGGCCATTTTCATGATACCAACCAAACCTCCTCCTTCGTTTCGTGATCCTGATCGATGGTCGTCCGAATTCATTGATTTTGTGCAGAAATGTTTAGTTAAAAATCCTGAAAAACGTGCAACAGCAAACGAGCTTCTTCAACATGAATTCATTAAACGAGCACTGTCCGTCTCAATAATCCAGAAGATAATTCAGGAAGCCAAAGAGATTCAACAGAATCAACAACAGCAACAACAACAAAATACTTCGGTAATGAATATAACGGCTTTTGATATGAAAATAACACATTTTTTTCGTGTTTATTTTTTACAGTCCACATTTGGTGATAATCTTAACGCCACAATGGTCTCTGCCAAAGATGTTACGCTGCGATCAAATTCAAATTATCAAAACAATGATGGTAATCGTACAGCTGATTCACAAATGAATCGAACGGCTGGAACAAATTTTACCACATCTGATGTTGAATCCGATCTCGGAACATTAATTATCAACGATGAAACAGATGACGAAGATTCGGATAAAACACTAAAACCTGCATTTTTACAACATTTCGAGCTTAAAGATAAGCAAAAGGTAATCAAATAATCAATCAAGTTTGTTGCGTTGACAATTTTATATTGTTTCACAGAATTATAAATCCGATGCGATGCCAACAATGGATGATACGTTGTTAGAGCATCCTGCCAAAAATGGTTGGAATGGAAATTCTGATGAATCCAATAATAATAGCAATAATTCCTCGGTATTAAGTTCCATTAATAATAATCCATTATCCAAAACGATATTGTTGGGTGGTGATTTCGAATTTTTGCGTCTACTCAGCTTGGACGAATTAAAAGCTCGAATGGCCAATCTTGATCTGGAAATGGAGGCAGAAATCGAAGAACTACGTCGCCGTTATGCTGCAAAACGGCAACCAATCTTGGATACAATGGATCAAAAAAAGAAACGACAGCAGAATTTTTAGCATTATTAATTGTAATCAATTTTTGTATACTATCTAAATCAGTGAAGCCTTCCAATTATTTATGTATCACAGTAAAGTGAAATTTTATTATATTTTTTTGACAAAAAAAAGGCACAACAATCAATTAATTTGCAATGGTATGCTGTATTGTTGATCCAAACCAATGTAACAATCACTTAGTAAATATAGTGTGTAGAATATTCGTTTCGATGACTTGACATCGGGTGTTCGAAATCTAATGTTCACCTGTGTTGAATATGGTTGAATACAAGGCACTCTGGTTATCGTGATCAATTCGGATTCTTCTTCACATCCAAGAATCAGATACCAGGATTCGGATTTCGGTTTTGGAAATGATGGGCAATATGCTCGTTGACCTTTTGAATTTTGATTAGACAATGAAATTCGTTTTAATTGGCAACAGATACAGTAATCAGAAGATGGTTGTAATTGTAGCCATTCAACATCACGGCGAGATACGAAAGTATTTTCTTTTGATATTTCTTGTGGCAACCAATTCATGCCAGAATCTGAATCTTCTTCGTCATTAATTTTGTTTATTGTTATCTTTTCAATATTGATCAATGGCAATTGCGTCAATGATTTAAAAAGCCGCGAAAGTATCCCATGGTGAATTGAATATCCTTCGAAAAGATCCTTGAACGATTTGAATGCTTTCGAGTCGTTTCGTTTGTTCGAATAATTTTGTTGTTGAAGAAATTGTAAAAGTGTTGGAAGAGAACAGATTTCTTTGGAAAGTTCACGAACATCGGCTATAGCTGCATCCATTTGATGTTGACGACTTTGATAATATTCGGAAGCATCATTTAGATCATCATCAATAAATTCATTAGCTGTTGATTTATGATCATTTTCGAGGAGTAACAATAATTGATTGGAATTTTGCCATGATGCTTGAATAATACTTTGTTGTAGATTGATTATGTTGATTGTTGTAGGAAGCGATCCATTCAGAGCTGATATATCAATCATTGCCTGGAATATTCTCAAAACTTGATCCAAAACTGTTTTTAAATCAGTATAATAATCAACAATTGGTAAAGGGGAACGTGAACAATGTGCCTGAAGCAACAGGTTAGCTTTAGTATGTGGGGAATCCATTGAACGACGATCCATTTTGAATGGACATATTTTAGCAAGCTGTGCATTCAATAATTCTTCATTGTGTCGAACAGGAAGCGTTGCATATTCGGAAGCCATAGTAAGTAGATCAAGAATTTCACTCGTTTTATAATAAGTGAATTTTGGCTGACCTGTTTCACTATCGGATGGACAAAGATGGTCTTGAAATAAACGAATAGTTTTGTAAGATAAATAATAGTAGGATGCTATTTTGCCTAATGGTGTTGGTAAAAGAATCTGATTGATAAGGCAGTCATTTTTTCCATATTGTTCCGATGATCGTTCCTCTTCATCGATTACTCTTATACAATAATTTTCGATCAACAATTGTACACAATGATCAATATATGATGAAAGAAATTTGATCACCACAGTGTTAATGGCCAATTCATCATTGAGTTGTTGTTCAATCAATTCACTAAGATCAACACCATAATACGATGGATTTTTAATAATTCGATGATAAAGATATGTTGATGAAAGGAATTCCATGGCTTCATGTTTAGTTTTTACAGTACCAGTTATAACCTCGGCATTTAAATGATCAGGAAACGCATCCAACAAATGTGATTCAACAGGGAACGGTTCATATAAAAATTTGCGATAATATTCTTTTTTAATATCGTGTACAAACAAAACGGCAACTGCTGAAGTATCGAATTGTGGACGGCCAGCACGACCAATCATCTGCAAAACATCCGTAATAGGAAAATCAACGTAACGACCTTTTTTACCATCGAAAAATTCGGTCCCTTTAATGATGACAGCATGTGCTGGAAGATTGATTCCCCAAGCTAATGTAGCCGTTGTAATCAGAACCTGAATCTTTTGTTCAGCAAATAATTGTTCAACAAGTTTCCGATCATTTTCAATCAAACCGGCATGATGCATACCGATACCGAATCGAAGTGTATGTTTTAAATAGGAATCTTTAACCGTTTCCAACAATGAATCTAATTCATCTTCGTTGTTTATATGCAAAAACGGTATGCCCATGGTGTGATCATCCGAAGCGACTAAGGTGATGAGATCCAAAGCGGTTAGCCTAGTTTGTCGACGTGATGAAACGAATACGATCACAGGTTTGGTTGGCGAGTGTTGTTTGATTGCTCTATATGCTGGTTTATTCATTGAAGCCATTCGTGGACAATAATGTTTACCCGAGAATCCCGATACATGAACTTCGATAGGCACCGGTCTAACTGAAGAGCTAAAATTGTAAAGGCCAATATTGTGGATTCCCAACCATGATGAAAGATCATGAGCATTAGCCACAGCAGTTGAAAGACCAATGATTCGAATATTTTCACCAGTTCGACGACGAATAAAATTTGTTCGTGATACGATCATTTCCAGAACAGGACCACGTTCTTCACCCAATAAGTGAATTTCATCGATGACAATTAGGGCAACTTGTCGTACAAATTTTCGAAATGTCCAACCACGACTAACACCGTCCCATTTTTCCGGTGTAGTCACTATTATCTGAGCAGAATCGATGGTGGCCAAATCAGGGGTAACATCACCGGTTAATTCAACAACGTTGAATCGAATTCTTTGTTCAATTTTTCTTTTCCAATCATCAACACGTTCACGTACCAATGCTTTTAAGGGAGCAATATAAACAATTTTACCCCAAGGACGTGTATTGAGCACACGGAACAAAGCTATTTCAGCAGCGATCGTTTTTCCAGAACCAGTGGGAGCTCCAAGTAGGACATTATTATCAGTATGATATAAAGTATGAAATATTTGCGTTTGAATCGGATTGAAATGAGTAAAAGGATAAATTGATTCGAATAATTCATTTTGTAATGCTTTGATTGGTAATGGCATTAGGTCCAAAAGCTGAGTGGTTGGTAAATGTTTATCAGGCAATAATAAATTTTGACATGATACTTCAGCTTCACATTTTGCACCCATCCAATATTCAAATGTACAATGAATTAGATATTGTTTCTGAAGATATGCTGCATCTAATAATGGTATGGTGAAAACATAACGTTGCGTTTCCTCTTTGATTACTTGTTTCTTGATGAAACGACCAAGTTCAGCATGATAGATATGATTGTTATCCATATCGGTCAACCATATCCAATAAAGCTGGGCAGCTTTTCCGTGATATTTATCATCCCAAATAAAATCTGGTTTAACATCAATATAAATGGTCAAAATGGTACGTGTAATTGGTTTGACTGATGCTTCAATCTGAACATTCGGTATGGTTTGAGCTAATTTTTTAACGATGGGTGCATATCGTTTATTATGGATAAATTGAGCAATTTCATTAATATCCATTTCTTTTAGATCATAATGTTGAATATTTTTGCTTTGATGGATAAATGATAGCTTGTCTAAAACATCTTGTGTCAATTCAGATTCGAATTGATATAAAGGTGTATCAAAATTCCAGAATTGCTTCTCAAACATCAACGATATATCCAAAAATTTTTCGGACAACGAAGGCCATCCTCGACGTATAACATACTCAAATAGGCCACGAGTCAAACGGGACATGTTCTAGTAGAAATAATTACAAATTAGAATGATAAAGAATTGCTTAAAACTCATACCTGAAGAATGTACATCATATCAGAATTCAATGAATGACATTCGGTAATCGATCGATTGATACAGGATTGCATCAAAATGTTAACTTTCGTATCGGTGCTGGTTAGATCGCCTTTGATCTTGAATTTGCATTGAGTCCATAAATTTTGAAGTTGCTCAATTTCTTCTTCTCTAATTCTTAGTTGATGGAATTCACTAGCCGACGACATCAGATGAAGAATATTTCCTATATCCATAACATCTCGAAGCTGTTCGTTCAAATGAACAATAGTTTCATATTGAATATAAAAATGCGAAGCAATACGTCCAAGATGTGTAGCATCTACCGTTGCTTCTCGTTCAGGATTATATCTAATCATTTGTGCTCGATCTAATTGTTCGGCAGAACTTTTTGCTAAACCTGTTAAATGATCAATGATAAGACCAAGATCGTGAGCTGCTATACTTTTGAGGCCATATTCCAATGGATTTCGTTGCATTCGAATATATAAATAGGTGTATTTGAGCCAATCGACAATTTCTCTGATATTGCATACGGTACCAAGAACAATTTCAGCATTCAAATTATCGACCAAACGTTTTAAGAATTTACTTTCAATTGGAAGTTGATTGGTCAACATGCTGAGATAATGTGGTAAACGTTCATATGTAGTAATTATTGTAGCATCACCATCACTATCAAATTGTGGCCGACCAGCTCGTCCAAAAATTTGCATAACATCAAGCATATCAATGTCGACAAAACTACCTTGTGATGGATCATAATATTCGGTACCACGAATGATCACAGAATGAGCTGGCAAATTTACGCCCCAAGCTAGTGTGGATGTACAGACTAGAACTTTGATAACACCATGGCTAAATAATTTTTCCACAATGTTACGTTCCGATCGTGGCATTCCAGCATGATGAATACCGATACCGTTGAGAAGAAATTTATTTAAATTTCGATATCTAGCTTTGGAAATCAGTTTATCTGAACCGGGAAGTCTTGACGTATCAGCTTGAAACATTAATCGTAAGCTTTCACCACCATCATGGTCACTGGGATCATTATATTGAGTTTTTTCCAACAAATAAGTTGCCATGGCCATTGTAGAATTTCTAGAATGCACAAATATCATGACCTGATATTCTTTCTGAAGTATTTCTCTGGCTCGTTTCATCGTTATTTCATCCATATCCATATTGAGCTGATTTTTTGAACGAGCTTTACATCCGATAAAGGTTTTGGCCAATGGGACCGGTCGAAATCGATCGTCGAATACATACAATCCTTTGTAAAGATCAACATGTAGAAATTGTGCGACATCGACATAGTTGGGCAAGGTAGCCGATAATCCAATCATACGAATACATTTTTGTGATTGTTCAACATAACGAACCGTACGTGCTACTATCGTTTCAACGACATGACCGCGATCTGATTGCAAAAGATGAACTTCATCCAAAATGATTAATCTGACCAAATCCATGAGTTGAACATCGCCAACAGATTTTCTCGTGACAACATCCCATTTTTCTGGTGTAACAACAAGCATCTGAGTTTCCATTATTTCTTTGCTTGTCATCTGCATATCGCCAGTCAATTCACGAACTTTGACGCCAAATGGCTGTAATCGGCGGCCAAAAGTTGAAGTCATTTCAGCACAAAGTGCTTTCATTGGAGCAATATAAATTATTTTGAATTGATCTAAATCGATATTGGATACGGAATCATCTACAGAAAATGAACGCAAGATGTTCAATATGGCCAACATTGCAATATTAGTTTTGCCAGCACCCGTAGGAGCACATATCAGCATGTTCTGATTATCCGATTGATAAGCAGTGGAAAATACAGCTGATTGAATGATGTTCAACTTTACGAAACCATCAAATCCGGTTCGAATAAATTCATCAGTATCGGAGATTTCGATGCGTGAAAAATTTTGCAGAAATTTATTAGTTTCTTCAGTGCTTGCAATAAGCGGAACATGAACTTCGTCGTGTGTTTTGAATTCTTTTCGTTCGGATCCAATCGGTAGCAATAATTTTGTGTCAGCAATGTAAGAAGCTGTCGTTTTTATAGTTCTGTAGAGATCATAAACAAATGGATACTGTTCAATTGGACGATATTGGCGTAGATTTTCAGCCATTTTCGGCTCCAAAATTGATCGAACTGATGCTTTAAGATTTTTTTCACGCATACTTTCTAGATCTTGAAGAGAAAGTTTATCACCTTGTGGTTCAATTTCATCATTGTCTGCGGTATTTTTTTGAACTCTATTAATTTTCTTAGCAATTTTACGCATTTCTTTTTTCAATGCTTTTTCTCTAGTGGTTGTTATGACTACAGATGGTCGAATCGATTGTGATCCAGTGTCACGAGATGAATTAATACGTCGATACAATTCTTCAGCACGTTTCGTATTGGAACCTTTTGTGGATGTTGATGATGATGGCACCGCATTCGTCTTATTAGATTTATTGTGGTTCATATCGGTCGATTGGTTACTTGATTGAACTTTTGGCTTATAAGCAAAGATTAATTTTCGAACCAATTTGGAGGAATCTTCTCCAAGAAGATTGGTCAATTCTTCATAAAGACTATCATTATCATTATCACTGTTGATTAAACGATTCATGACCATTTGATTCAATTCTTCGGCGCTCAAATAGAATTTATCCGAATTTCTTTCATTATAATCGACAATGAATGCTGATAATTCTTCATATAAATTAGCCAAAATATCTTCGGTTGATTTATTCGCCATAGAATCTTCCATATCAACCTGGAATTCTGATGGTTTTTTTTGTTGATTTGGTATATTATTGGCTTCTTGTTTTCGCAGTTGACTCGTTGCTGATGTTTGTGATTGTGAAGAAATTGAATTAGAATAAAGCAGGTTTTGAAGAATAAATTCAGAATTGGAATAATCGGGATTGAATTTAGTAAAATCTTCATTACATTCTTGAATCATTTGTTTATCATAATTGTTAGTTAACATGTAGTTGAATTTACTATTGGCATAAGGATCAATTTTAATTTCAGCATCATTGGTTTCAAAAATACGGTCGGCGAATTGATTAAACCAATCATGATTTTTTTCAGAAGATTGTTTTTCGAGATCAGTTGTAATTTTTTTAATAACACTAGCGTAAAAGAAAATTTCATTCAAATATTTGGGTTCCATGACCTGGAATATCTGACGGCAACATTGATACATTTTTTCCACTAGATTATACTTCATTGGATTTAAGCATAGATTATATTCCATATCATTGTAATGGGAACTAATATTGGCAAAATTCAATGATGTTTGATGTTCATCTGCGATCGGTTGTTGTGTAATAAATTCTGTTTGAAATGAATCATAAAACACCCATAGAAGATAAACGGCTGCTTTTTCCACAAGATTCTGATGTGTAGATCGATCATCGATCTGTATGAATTCAGCAATTAATGATAATAGTTCTTTATACAAACAATCCGGACTTTGCATTGGCCTATCGTGATCGATATCCATTCGTTCATCTTTCGAACAAATCGCGACGCTGGTATTGTATCGATTAAAAAATTCCATATCGCCATTATGAATTAACGATGCTTTCGAAGGTTTGGACATGATTTCATCAAACGGTGATCTGGAACTAAAATTCTGTGAGCGATTCTGTACGTTACGTAAATGTTCAACAATATTTTCAAAACGAGGTAACATTTTTTCATCGAGCACATCAGTTAATCGTTGTTCCATTAATTTGAAACGAGTAAAACATCCAATATAAATTTGATCACTACTTGCACCGCTGCTGCTGCTGATATTATTAGGATTATCGAGAACATTAAGCTTTACATTGCATTTTAGGTTCTTGACTTTTTGACGTATATACATGGAGAATAATTTGTTTTTCGTATTGTCCATTGTTTCTTAGACAAGATTTCTTAAAAAATAATCTCGTGGTTATTAATGAACTATTAACAATTTATAAACAGATATATAAAGAGCATCGAATTTAATTCAAACTTTCTCCACGAGACATTCAACAATTGCATCAAAACACGTCAAGCAGACGGATTTTTTTTTTGTTATCGTAAGCATCTATTTCTACCCAAGTGTCATGAAATTTTGTGGAAAATTATGAAAAATTTTTAGTTTTATTTTTAAATTAAATTTTTTTTATACAAAAAGGATTAAAAATCAGCAATCATTTGATGATCATTCGAGGGATGAAAATTCTTCAGCAGATTTTTCCAGTTCTGATTTTAAATTATAATCTGCTATTTTCTTTCCCGTAGACATTGTTTTTTTCTGGACATTAGTGTTTACATTTTTGCGTTTTATGCTGACGTTTTTCTTGCCAAATCTGGATTTAGTATTCACATCTTTTGTAAAACTATCAACTTTTTCGATTGTTGATTCATTTTCATTACCGTTCTCGCTGACTACGAATGTATCCGTTCTCACTGATTGTTTTGATTTATTCGTTTGTTGTTGAAGTTTAGTCATATAACCACGATCATGATCTTCATCATTCTCACCGTGAACATTGGCCGGACTTTTATGGGTAGCTTCGAATCGTTTTTTCAATGATTCTTGCTGACGATGAAAATAATCATAACTTGTCCAATGAAGACGGCTAGCTGGTCGTGATATGAAACATATAAGCCAAACAGGGATGAATAGTAATAACAATAAAACAACCGTAAGAATTGCAGCTCTCTCGAAATCGAATTCGACTTTGAAACGTGATTTTTTTTGTTTCGAATCAAGATAGTAATCAAATGATTGGTCCGTGGCCGAATCATCACCATGGACATTCAATAAAATCCAAATTATAAGAAAGAAAAAATATTTAAAAAAAAATAACATTTCGATTATTTTATCGACAATTGACAAGTTCGAAACTTTTCCAAATATAAATAAAATTATTATTAAAAGTCGTGGCAAAAAAAACCGTCGAACTTTTTTTTGTATGCATCGAATGATAATTGCTTGAAAATTTAAATTCAAATTCTAGAACTTCAAATCTTGACCATCTAAGTCGATATAGCTGCCTAGTTTTAGCTCGCTTCTGTCTGTCTGTTCTCAGAAATTTTTTGATTTACTCGTTATTTTTTTTCTCTATATAAATTTAAAAATTCAGAATATGTCTACATCAGCACTGCCGGATGGGTGGAAACGAGAGGAAGTTAAACGTACTAATGGATTGACCATCAAAACAGATGTTATCTATGTCAGTCCTGAAGGACAACGTATCAAATCAAAAGCGGAGCTAGCCAAATATCTTGGCCAAACAATCGATTTATCGTCATTTGATTATCGTTCGGGCAAGATTAATCCATTGCTATTACGAAAAAGTAAAAGATCCTATGGTGTACATGATCATCGTGCACTAAAACATGATCCAACTACGATAAATCCAGTTCGACAAACGAATCCTTTTTTCAAACATCCAGTTACCATCGTGAGGACAAATACCAGCAATTCTAAAGTATTAAATCTACAACATATTAAAGAGATACGTCGTAAGCATAATCTAAGCTTTAATGAACCGAAATCCGATAACAACAATGAACGACCTTTTCAAATGTTTTGGCCACGAAGATTGGAAGGACAACGAGCATCGAATCATGCACTTGAACGTCTTGACGATTTTCAATTACCACCAAATATTCGAACATTCAATTCAACATTGGCTAATAACGAAGACATTTTCCGTACAATAACCGCTAATCTATACAATGATCAGCGAGCTATTCGTGGTCAAGAACGTAAAATTATTAATCGTATTCGTCGTGAAATGGATGAAGAGGATGTAATGAGAAATCTATTGGCATTCATTAATCCACATCAACCATTATCACATACGATTACAATTACCGATCAGGACATAATACAACAGGAAGAAGTGGTACGAAAATATCGTCGAAAATTACGCGATGCAATCAATCGATAATAAAAAAAAATAAGAAAAACAACAAACCACCCATATAAACTAAATGTTGTATAAAAAATTATTTTTTACTTCATTGTAAATGTAAATATAAATGTATGTACCCTACAAACATTTGTAGTAAAGACAAATTATCATTTCAGAAAAAAAACAACACAAAAAAATCCAATCAAAAACACATCTTATTATGAATCTAACAATTTTTTCTGGCTTTTATTTATCAAATACATTTTTTTCAGTCATTTTTCATTGTTTTTCTCAGTTTAATTTGAATGAATACAACCATCATCACTCAAATTCATCAAAAAAAAATTAACTTGCTGACTAATGATGTCTTCTTGGATGATCATTGTCAACCTATATAGGTACCAGTGTACATTGAGTTTTTTTTTTTTGATTTTTTTTTCACCGCTGGTTCAAAATCAAAATTTAGCGTTGGCGTTCATATGTAAAGTAACAATGGGTAATGGGCAATCTGAAATATATAACATGTACGAGTGCAAATGTGGATGTTCATATAGCATCAAATATATATACAACAACATTATCATGTTGTGGATGTTAAGCTATAGTTTTTGGTTTCACTTTGGCCATTTTTTTTTTTTTTTTTTTTTTTGGCTGGTATGTTTTTGTGTTGTGTGTGTCTTTGTGGTAGCTAATGAAAATTTGTTGTTTATACACATTGATACAGCTAATATTTTACCCCCTTTTTTGTGTTTGCCACTTTTGATCGTCGTCTTTTTGTATTTCAATCACCATCGCCATTATAAATGGCTACTACCACCTCGATTACATTCATACAGTGATGACACCACCTACCATCAATACAAATTTTCAATCACAATATTTAATGCAACAACCAACAAAACAAGAAAAAAAAATTCATAGTCTGGTTTGTTGAAGCTTGTTCATAGCCGTTTTTTTTATGCATTCATTTTCCAACCAGCCATAGCAAACAAAATAAAAACGTATAACGTTTTTGACGTTTTAAATTAAAAACAACAACAACAACAACCGAAAAGCTATTTCTTTTTTTTTCTTCACTGTCAACGAAACACCAATATAAAATATATAGTTCAATTTTTTTTCTATATGCAAAAATATATTCGAACAAAGTTTTGAATTTCGATTTCGACAAAATAATTTTTTTTTCTCTTCACATTTTTTATTTTGACAAAAAAGAAATTCGTCACAACTCTGGATTCAATTCGCCACCAACGACAACGATATATCTTTCGATTTCGTTTTGTCAATCAAATTGTTTGGATAATATCGCTTGCTTTAATCATTTTCATTATGTCTGAAGTAGAAAATAATACGACACCTAATCCGGCTGGTGATGAGAAATTGGAGAAAAAAGATTGTGAACAACAACAACAACAAGAAACAACAAACGGTAGCCAACAAATCACCAATGGTGATTCATTCAAGCCGGAAGATTATAAATCTTTGTATGATTTTACTGTCAAAGATATTGATGGTAATGAGGTAAGAATATTTTTCATCACATGATTCTGAATTTTTTTATATTGATTAATGATTTCGAAATCTGATTTCTTGATAGGTTTCCCTTTCAAAATATGAAGGAAAAGTCGTTTTGGTTGTTAATGTTGCTTCCAATTGTGGTTTTACTAAATCCAATTATCAACAATTGAATGAATTGTACGAAAAATATGAAAGTCGTGGTTTTCGAGTGGCTGCATTTCCCTGTAATCAATTTGCCGGACAGGAACCTGGATGCGATGCCGATATCAAAGAGTTTGCTAAGAAAAATAACGTAAAGTTTGATATGTATTCTAAAATCGATGTTAATGGATCAAACGCACATCCATTGTATCGTTGGTTGAAACTTAAACAACGTGGAATTTTCGGTACACAAGCAATCAAATGGAATTTTACCAAGTTTTTGATCAACAAAGAAGGTCAGCCAATCAAACGTTATTCACCAACAACTTCACCAAATTCTATTGAATCGGAATTCAAATCAATGTTGGATCCTGAAAAAACAAGTGATGATGATCAACAGCCGGCTGCCGAACAACCAAACAGCCAATAGACAAAGATGTTTGTCGTGTATGTGTTTGGGTATGATAATGGCTTACCAGATTTACGTACAAATTACCCAGGTTTTTTTTCTATCGATTATTACAATCGATCATTGACATTTTGGACCACAAATTAATTTTGAAAAAAACGTTGATCAAAACTTTCTTTTACACGTACACTTTTTTTTATCTCTATATATCCTACATCGATATATTCCATATTGATAAACTTTTCTTTTTTTTTCTCATTTTCAATTTTTCAAATCCAAATCCTTATAATTTCATAATGATTGTTCTTATTTTTTTTATTCGGTGTTTGAATTGAAAAACCCGAATTTTTTTTCTTGGCAAACTTTTCATTATGATATGTGTTTATCTTTGTGTGTTTTTGCTTGATTTAATTTTCGCTTCTATCGATGGCATTATAAATAAAAACAACTCAAAATGAAAATTTCTAAGATTCTAGATTTTTTTTTTGTGATGTTGGAACCTTTTTTGATTTTCGGATTTTTTTTTTTTTTTTTGCTGTTTGCTGAGAGTGTTCCCCGCCCGAACTTGACAAATGGCCGGTATTATATAGAAAATAGTCTCACTTTCTCAGACCCGGGAATCCATTTCTGCATTATGTTCACCATCGAATGTGAAAAGATGCGGCCAACCAAACACTCGATTATTCCATTCTATGCGCGTGTCTATCTGAGTATGGTTTAATGATGTTTTGAATTCTGTTGTTTGTTTTTCACATTGGATCGAGCACATCAACTATATTAACCAGATTTGAAAGATTCAGATATGGATTTTTTTTAGCAAATCCAATTTTTTATAAAAATGTAAACAATTAGATGATATGGTTTTTGGTCATTTACTCGAACAACAACATTACGAAAATCATTAATAATAATCTATTGGAGAATCATGTCGTCATCAGCATCGGAAACAAGCGAAACACCATCGACTGGTATTAGTAATTGCAAAAGTATATGCATTGTTATTGTTGTCATTGGTTGTTTTGCTGTTTTGTGGCCAAAAATTTTCTATCCAATGCTTTTATATGGTATACGTTGGGATACCCGTCAATCGATCGATAATGGTAAATCGAAAATGGATCATTTTAAATTATTCTTATTGATATTTTTCTAAATAAAAATTACATCTTCAGCAAATAAATATATACTACCACCAAAAGTAATGGAAGCAATGCGACAATCACCAACGAAAAATCCACAACCACAAAAACTTCCAGGAAGGGTATGATCATTGATTGATTAAAATGATCATTTTTGAACAATGATTGTTCTTTATCATATCACAGCCACAATTTTACACAGGAAAACGTGAAATATCTACCAATATAGGTGGTGGCCAAAACAGCGTTTGGAATATATTTGTTCCATTATATGCCTTAATTTTGATCGTTATTTTTATGTACGCATTATTTAAGGTATATATAAGCTTTATATGTTTCTATGCACTATAAATTGACAATTTTTTTTTCTGTAAACAGTTATCACTAAAATCTGATGATATTCAATCAACTACAATTAGAGGATCTCGACTACAATTACGACAACAATCATCGTGGTCATCATTACATGATCCTAAACAATGTCGTGAATGTCAATATGATTTAGTAAGACAAGAATATACAAACAAACGTTATGATCCATTCATGTCACGAAGTTCATATCGAACTTTTGATTATTATGGACGTAGAAATGGTGAGTGTGAAAAAAAAATGTTTGTACAATTTCTATTCTAATAATAACTTTGACACTATCCGATAATTGACAAAAAAAAACAGTAAGTCGAATAATGCATTCATTAGTTGAAGATGTTAAAACATTCAGTGAACATCTAACCAAAACGGAGAAATGTTCATGTAAATTGGCTAAATATGATAAAGATGGTAATGAAGCGGAAAGTTTCCTCAAAACAAATAAACAAATCAATGATGAACCGATAAAGGTTTGTTATTTAATTTTTTCTGGTTCGTTTTTTTCCTTTTATCTAAAAAAAATCATTTTTAGCAAAACAAAGAAGATAATGAACAGCAGCAACAACAACAACAACAACTAAAACAACAAGATTCAGTAATCGTAATAGAAGAAAATTTGACGATCGAAAATCCATACATTGATAATATTAAGGAGAACGTTGATGTAACTGCAGCACAGCAGGATCATAAAGATGATAATGATGATGATATTGAACAGATTCATCATACGATGACAGATGAATGTCACGAGAACGATGGCCAAAATAGCAATGAAAACGTGAGGGAAAATAAAGAAAATATTATTGAACAACAACAACCAAATGCTGTTGGAATTTCAAATAAACCACATCGTACGATAAGAAAACGTATCATTGATAACTTTAAAACAAAAATTTTCAAAGACAAATGTAATGACAAATTTCAAGAATTCGAACATCAATCGAAAAGTTCGCGGTCGAAATTGGTCCGAAGAATTAATCACAAACTAGATAAATTTAAGCATTTGAAGAAAAAATGAATGAGTCATTTAAGATGATATGATTGTTTCGATTTCAATCGAACATTCTAATAGTTTACGATAGCATTTGTATTTTTTTCGATGATAATCAAAAATTTCTGGTCGCGGTTCAAAAATTCGAATTTTTTCATCATCACCTATCTTGGCTCGAACTTGATTCAGCAAAGAAATTAATTCGTTTAGCGAATTCGATCGATTTAGAGCCGCTACGAAAGACATGATTGCGGTTCCCGTTAACATATGATCCGTGCCATCTAAATCGTAAACAAAAATTTTTCGCTCCAAAATATCAGCATGTTTTTGAAGATAAAATTCATTTTTGGTAAGACCACCGCTTACAATCACCTGCTGTATTGGTTGTGCACTGCGTTCTATTTCTTCAATGATAAATTTTGTTTCATAAGCAATTGCTTCAATTGTGGCGCCATAGATTTCAAGCAATGATTCGTCTTCCAATGTCATACCATAGATGGCACCTTTTAGAAGTGGATCGGCAATTGGTGAACGATTTCCATGGAACGATGGATTCACAACCAATGAAGTTTGATGAATGAAATTCTTGGCTTGTAATTCATGGTTCAGTTTTTTTATGATTTCTTTAAAATTTTTTCCATCTGAAGACTTTTTCTGTCGAATTATATGTTCTACTAACGCTCCAGAGGCACTTTGTCCAGCCTCACGAAGATAATATCCGGGAATGATTGCATTAGGATAAGGTCCCCATACACCTTTGGTCATGGTTCGGTTTTGATTCAAAACCATATGACAAGTCGAGGTACCAGCGATCATACAGAGTATATTTTCAAATGATTTGCCCAAATTTGATTTCGAAATGGAACGATCCGAAAAAGTTAACATAGAGATGGCACCAGCATGAGCATCAATCAATGGACAGGCAATTTTTATAGTTTGATCGCCACCATTAAACGATATTCCAATTTGGTGAGCAATTTCGGCACTTAAATGACCAATCATCATTCCAGGTTGAATGATTTTGGTGCCAATTTTCATACGTATCGATTCATCAAATTTTATGCCTAAATAAAATAAAACAAACACATATGAATCAAATAAAATGCGATTATATTAATAGAGAATTAATCAAACGGAATCAAATATAATTTATACCTAATTTTTCGAATAAATCTGAATGCCATTTATCCTGTTCAACGTCATAACCCCATTTACAGACAACAGAACATAGGGAACGAGGAAATAGTTCTGGTTGGTTTTCAGACCATTGATTCGAACAACGGTAACTGAGCCAATCCGGTAATTCCATAAAAGCTTTTGTACGTCGAAAAAGTTCCGGATCATTGTTATGAATCCATATAAGTTTTGGTAATGAGAATTCGGGTGAACAAGTGCCACCAAATTGTTCAAGAATTTGATGGCCAGTTTGATTGATGAGCTCTGCTTCTTTGGAAGCACGGTGATCCATCCACATGATTACATCATAGTCATTCGATAATTGTTTTGAATTTAGATTATTAACATCACCAGAGATAATGACAAGTGAGCATGTCGCAGTAAAACCAATCGCATCAATCGTTAATGGTGTTTGATTCTGATTCGCCTGTTTGCAACAATCAGTAGCTGCCATACAGAAAGCCTGCCATATTTCGCTGGATTTTTGCTCGTAAAAATTCTTTTTCCGATTGTATATGGTCAACTGATGTGTAGAAAAAGCCAACGGTTTTGGATTCAATTGATTATCATTAAATTCAAAAATAGCCACACGAACACTACCAGAACCAACATCACAACAAAGTGCGTGCATTTTATAAAATATCTATTTTTGAATTAATCGATTAAGAAGTCATTAAATTCAAAATCAATATTTCAGACTTACTAGAATATGGATAACGAATAATGCAGCCGAATCAATCCAATCAATAGATTACTATCAAGTTCAATATGTTTGTTTAATGAATGTAGATTGCTAAATCATCATCATGAACACGATCATTAATCATTCATGCCAATGTTTAGTCAATTAAGATCATGCTATTCGATCATGATCGATGCTTATCTTCGGTAATCATAGATTTATTATCATTTTTTTTCTCTTATCTTTGCTTGAATTGAAGCCATTCATTATGGTAATTGTTTGACATTGAAATCGTGAATTAATGAAATTTCATAAAACAAAAGCGGCATGTGTGTTTATGTTATACAAATGTTTTTAATGGAAATATTTCTCATTGGATATCCAAACAGAATGCATACTGATTCCTAGGAAATATTCTCCTGACATACTGTTGATTTTGCAATCAATTATTGATTGAAATTTTAGACAAAAAAAACTTGCTCATTATTGGATGATGATTATATATTTGATATATCCTCAGCGTCATTATTTTCGTTGACGTAATCATATTTTTTCTCTCATAATAGATTTCCTTGTTTGTTACAAAATTTCCATTGCTAGGAGATATGTTTGTATTTGCTGTTATAAGTGGATGAGTGAAATCTTTTAGCCCATTCAATAGTGATCATCATTTGACAATCATCGTCGACAATCGACAAATGGCTATGATACGTAATTCTGGAATAATTTTTCGACAGGTATGCAATTATTTTTTTTCTAATTCAATTTATTTATTTATTTAATTGGATTTAGCTTTTTGATCGAACATCATGTACCTATACATATATGTTGGCTTGTTCAAAAACCAAAGATGCCTTGTTAATCGATCCGGTTAAAGAATTAATTGAACGAGATCTAAATTTAATCAATCAATTGGATTTGAAGGTAAGAAATTTTGACCTTGAACATTTGATTCAATTTTGTTTTACAATTTTTTTTTCATCATTCTCATTTTTGACTTATTTTAATCATTTTTTTATTTATTTTTTTTGAAATGTTGGCTCGTTGCTTTTCCAAAATTGAATTGGCAAAAAAAACTTTTTCCATAGCTCAAATATGTACTCAATACACATGTTCATGCCGATCATATAACAAGCAGTGGACAGATTAAGAAAATATTGGACGGAGTAAAGTCAATAATTTCAAAAGAGAGTGGTGCCGTTGCTGATGTTCATGTTGAAAATAATGATTCAATTAAACTTGGAGAAAATATCGATTTATTGGTCAAAAGTACACCAGGTATTTTGAAATTTCTATTTCTGAAAACTAAACAAAAAAAAATATTTAATTATTTACTTTTGCGATTTCTCAATTTATTTTTCGAAACAAATTTTTCGTCTCTGGACAATACACTTTGCCATTTGCTATCAAGGACATACAAATGGATGTGTCTCATATTTTCTAGCTAACGGTCCATGTGTTTTTACTGGCGATGCCCTATTGATCCGTGGATGTGGTCGTACCGATTTCCAACAAGGTATTGTAATTATTGTTTTCACAATTGAAATCAACGAACTTTTATGGAGACAAAGAGACGAAAAAGATTTGTTAATATTTATTAATATTTTTCCATATTGTACATTTGATTTCATGAATTCTAGGCGATTCTGGAAAACTCTATGATTCAATACATAGTCAACTATTTACAATACCGGATGAATGTATTGTTTATCCTGCCCACGATTATAATGGCAATACATGTTCAACAATCGGTGAGGAAAAACTTTATAATCCTCGTCTATGTCGAACACGCGATGAATTCATTGATCTGATGAAAAATCTTAAACTTCAGCTTCCCAAAATTGATTGGTAACCTTTGTCTTTTAGCTTGTTGGTATTATTATATATTTGTTTTAATTTTTTTATCTATAGATATTGCCGTTCCAGCAAACATGGTCTGCGGTGTTTAACCAACAAATAACAATGATCCCCGATTTGAGAAAAAAAAAATTAATTTTTGTTTTTGTTAATTCATTCTTCTATATAGAAATGATATCAATATTTGATTTTCACATTGTTCGATATGATTATTTAAAATTTTTTTTTTAATTTTTAAAAATTCTGTTTATCTTGATTTAGGATCAAAATATTTATCGGATTATTTAATTTTTTTTCTATTTGTTTTCTTCCTTCTTTGTTTTGGTTATAAAATTTTTTTTCAATATTTGTTAAAATTATCAGAATAAATGATCATTACTTTTAACCCACATAAAAATGTTGATAATCGAATGAATGAATGATACAAAATAATTATATAAACCACATCAAATTTTGTTAACATTTCATTATGGACAAACGGAAATAGATTGTACATTGACCACACCTTTATAATGTTATTTAGTTTTATTTTTTTTTTCATCATTTGAAATGAAATTGTAGAATTTTATAATTGTTTTAAAATTGATCAACATTTTTTGTTCATGATTGCTAATTATTTAATTTTCGCTACTATTTTTTTCGTGGACATTTATATTTTTAATTTTTCTGTCAGATTTGTAATAGACGTGTTAATAAAAAGTTTGAATATTCGATGGCTATTTTTTATATATTTAATGTGGTAAATTTAGTATATTTAATATATATATACGATCTATGATCAATAGTAAATACCAATTGCAAGAACTGGTTTCGTATGTTGATATTAAAAGATGATTATCATATTGTCATGAGTTTTTCTTTCGATTATTATAAAGTGTGCAAAGAATGATGGGTGTAACTCCCAACCCCAAAAACAATTATTTCAAGGTGTTTCCAAATTAACGGAATCTAATAAAAATCAACTTGCAAGAATCGTCAACATTGAATTGGTAAACAATTTGTTTAATTTTCGGTCCTGTGAAACTTTTTCAAATTTCAAGTGGCTCTCAATGTGAACATTATAAATTGAATTAAATTTATCACTGTTCATGTATGATAAGAGTAATGAAAACGAATTTTCTAGACCATATAGGGCTTCCAAAACCATTTATGCCCGGTAGCATCTGGTTTCATAATTTTTTACTTGTTTCGTCCAATATTTTTTTCTATTTTTTTTTTTTGAGTGTGTGTTCAAATACTATTATGATAGCTGAATTTGTATTCAATTCATTTTTTTTTCTCTTCATCGTTTTGTTTCATTTAGTTTATCGTGTTCAATGATGTATGATAAACGAGAATGTCTACTATAATGTTGTGAATATTCAAAAGGTTTCAAAAAGTCGTTAACATGTGATTTAAAATCATTTATTAATTTAGACTGAATTTTTTTTCATCATCTATGAAATTTTATTTTATGTTGCCACGTTTAAATTAATAATGAATAAATAAAATAACCAAATATGAACAATGAAAAAACACTTGAACTCGTCTCATGACTAATTTTAATTTCATTCAGACACAAACAAACAAATATTATTTACCTTGTCACAAGACACTAAATACCTGTATTTATAATGAATCTGGTCAAAGTCAATACTTAGATTTCATCCTGATGGCACGAAATCTATAGATCTTTTTCCATAGTACATGTGTGTTTATATAAGCCCAACAGCGATTCAGAGAATTTTCTTTTCCGATAAAAGCAAAGGCAATATTATGTATGCATGCAGTGATCTTTCAAGTCATGGCAGAGAAAATGGAATCAGAATTTTAAAATAAAAAATTTATTTTAAATTTGTTGGATATTTTACATTGAAAATTGGATGACTTTATTGATTCTATATTTTTCCTACTTCCTGAATGGAAAGTGAATGAAATATTTTTTTTTATAATTTAAATATAAATAAACTAGGTCAAGAAAATGTAAAGTTGCCACTTTATTTTTCTCTAAAAGAATTTTGATTCCATTCACATAACATCTTTTTACTTAAGTGTTATGGTATTCAACAAAAACAATGAAGCTTCAAGAATGATAAGATTGGGTCATCACTGTTGTGTGAATTTTTTTCATTTCCTTTTTTTCTCTCCATAAAAATTAAACCTCTACTTGTGTGCGTATGAATAAAAAGCCATCGGGTTACCGAACAAACGCCCTTCTATGCAAACAAACCAAAAAAAAAAAAAAAACGCTAGCTTCAGTTGAATAAATAATATTAAATATTCATTCGATGTTTCAATAAAGGAATAATGGTTTCCACCAAAAACTTCTAGCTAATTTACCGTTATCATCCATGTTTTAATCAACACTCTATTTGGACGTCGTATAGGTCAAGTAGAATAGAACGGATAATCAACAATTTTTTTTCATTTCAATCGTACATTAAATGTTGATTTTTTTGGCCAAATGATTTTCGTATTCGGTAATGGTTATTCTTGGGCTATCCATATTACTTATTGTTTACTTAATGCAACATTATTGTCTTGTTTATTAAATAAACTGTTGGCCTAGTGTAAATTTTCATTAAAAAAGTGTAAATAAAATGGTTTCTTGGTTATTATTACATTGTAAATGTCTTTTCTTGTTTTTTTTCATCTTGTTTAACCAAAATGACAACTACGTTATCGTCGTCGTCGTCGTCGTCAAAAATGGCTCTAAAACTAACAATCAATTTCGATTATTTAAAGCCGACCAGAATCAAAAATCAATCCCAAAACTTGTGGTCACATTTATTCGAATCATACTGAATTCTGCTGTTTTCAACAAATATTTTTCTATTATCTACTTGTATTTATATTCTTTTTTGTGCTTAATTATCAAAATTTCGTTTGTGTATCTTGTGCCATTTTTTGCTGGATTAATTTTGCCAAAGTGCTCAACCATCGTTATCATCATTATTATTATAATCATCAACTTAATGCTTATGTAACCCAACGAGAAAATAAAATAAAAAAAAAATTCAAGTCACAAAAAATATATTAAAAACAACAACAAAAATTTATTTAGGATTTTTCTATTTAATTCGAGATATCGAACTCTGACAAACATTACGACAACAATGGAGTTTATAATGAATCAAGAACAAAATTATGATAATCTAGACAATTCTGTCAACATCAATAATAGCATCCGTAACAACAAAAATGTTGTTAATGTAATTAAAAATTATTTGATTCTATCATCGGCGAAAAAATCGCCATCAATAATGATGATGGCGGTGATGAAATCAAAATGTCGTCATCATAGTTCTACATCATTGTTTTCATCTTATTATTATCTTCTATGGCTTGCTGTTTTTGTTTTTTTCGATTTACGATTCTGGGCAATTGATCAAAATTTTGCATCAGTCGAAGCGTCAATCGTTTGTCCTAAATTAATTCCGGTTCGAAAGACACCACGTTTTGGTAAAAGAAGTGCTGATTACAATAAAATGTATCCATTCGAATGCCTTGAATTCAAAAAACGTTTAATTAATGAATTCCTTCCAATGGCTAAGATTGTTCATTCCTCGGAGATATCAAAAACAAATTATGAACTGATTGATTCATTAACACAAACTGGACGATCATTGGTTGCATCATCATCGGCGCCTCCAATACCGGAAGGCAAAAACATATTTGGCGTGATATATGGTCAACCTAATCAGTTTGAAAAATATTTTCTTTCAATATTGAATAAACATGCAGCAGAGTCAACACCAACATCGGCACCATCAGTTGATGCCAACACAACAGTGTCCACAAAATCATTGATATCAACATCTTTATCACCTGAATCTGGAATCAAAGATTCGAATGAATCATCGAATACAGACGCTGAAACGACATTACGGCGTCAACGGGAGATTTTAGCACGATTATTCGTTTCATACATTGATAAATTGAAAGAACAAAATCAGCGACAACAGCAAAAACAACAACCTTAATAGCATCTTGATATAAAAATAACATGATGGTAATTCAAGTAGCATTTATATCTTGTTTCTGAATGAAAAAAAAAACATCATCTACTTCAAAACATTGAAATAATGAAAATATTCTCCAGATATCATTCGATGAAAATGATCATGATAATTTGACGGAAAATTTAATGAAAAGACTCTACATCATAATCGATGGAAAGGATTTATAATAATTCACGCCAACTATCTATAAATTTCATCATTTAAATTTTTAATTTGCACTTTTTTTCATTTCTCATGCACATACACATATACACATCCTAAGGTGTTTAATTGACGTCCAAAAAATTGTTTTCATTCTAACTAATTATGGATTTTACATTATATTATATTGTTAGACCATACGTAATAATAAACAGTAACAATTTAACTTTATTATGCTACAAAATTTATTATATAAAATATATACTCATCACTATATTATCCTGTTTACCCAGATTCTGATAATGAATAAAAAAACCAATTACAAAAAATCCAGAAAAAAATAATCATTATATTGAAACCTAATTGTTTTTAATGCAAATAAATAAATAAATGTTGAATGTGAAAAAAAACAAAAAAAAAGATTCGAATCGAAAACCAAATTTTGTTGACCATTCATGTGATCCGATATGATATCGGAAAGAAATGGTTTGAATTATCGATTTACAAATAAAAAAAATTCTCATTTTCGTGGCCAAATTTCTTATTTTTAAATTCAAACATTAAATGATAAAATCTGCTTTGGTAAATGTTTGATAGATGTCACATGATTTTTTTTTAAAAAAAACCAAAATAAGATATGATTCAATCAAATAAATATATATGAATCGTATTATGGTTAATAATCTATTCATACTTATCAGATTTAATTTTCATTCAATTTAATATTTATTTAATTTGACATATAACTTCGACTTATATTCTGTATTCCATATTCTGGATATTTTTATACTATTATTCATTCAAATTCATATGTAATCTATGAATTTGATTAGATTTTTTTTGTGAGGGAAAAAATTTTGAATTTCAACAACATCGATCTACTATAATGTGGAAAGAATTCGTTTTTTTCCATTTAAATTTGAATATTATTAGTACCAATACAGGTAATTTGTCATTAGAATTTCATTCACTATTAATGATTACAGAATCATAACATTTGTTTTAATTTAAATCTAATTTTTAATATTCAGTCTGTCTGTTTGTTTGCATTTGATTCATTCATCACCATTTGAATTTAAATTATTAGTTCAATTCCAAGAATGATTTCGATATAATCCGGTACGTTTATTATAATAAAATCTGCATAAATTTTTTTTTCCGTTCAGTTCCATTAGTTTTTATCTTTTTTGTTGTTTGAAATGGACTTTGTTCAGATTAAATAATATTGTGATTTTCGTGGAATTTAATGAAATTTATTTAATAAAAAGACAGGAAAAGATAAATCGATTAGCGAAACAGAACAGATTTCGTTCCGATCAACGAGTTGTTAATTTGAGATGTATTGAAAAATGTTCATTTTAATGACAGTAACAAGAATGATGAAAAAACAAAATGAAATTTTCACAAATGTCATTCTGATCAGTTTTTTTTTGATGATGATGATGATAATAAAAAACAAATTGGAAAGAATTATCATTAAAAAAAAGTTATCAAGTATTCAAGAATGAAAATGTGGAAATGAATGTTCGAATATCGTATAAAAACAATTTCATGCGTAAAGAGACTACATGAGGAAGAAAAAAGAATAGCTGAATCCAATACACCTTTTGGTAATGATTATGATGATGGGGATAATAATAAATGATCATATTCTTGGTAAAAATATGCAGCAAATAAATTCATCTTGCATGAGTTTCATGTATGAACATTCGTACATTATAAATTTGGATTTATCGAAGCGTCGTCGTTGTTGTTGGAATTTTTCTCTCGAATTGATTGAAAATAATCGTATAAGAATAAATGATTAGAATAAGTTTTGCCAGAAATCTTCTGTTCAATTCAATTTGTCCAAGTAAAGTGAATGTTGCTTGATTTGATAGCAGTCCATTAGCAACAAAATTTATCTATGACAGCCGTATTTGTAGCAAGTGGACAGAGAAATAAGGGAAAAAATAAACATAAAATAGAACAAAAAAAATAATAAGACATAAATTCAGAAATGGAATAAATGCAAACCTCTTCAAAAAATTTTGTTGATCTGTCCTGGGGTTTTGTATTCAATACATAACTGTATAGAATCGATTTGGTCATTGACGATAGTTGATGGACGTCGCTCAATTCTTTTAGACCATAAAACAATATCAATGACATTAGGAATGCTAAACATGCTGCCGAAAGAAATTGTACACTTTCACCATTGACACCCGATTCGACAATATTAATTGTTTGGCTAACGAAATAAATGATGCCAAAAAATAGAAATCCAATAAACACTGGTATATAGAATGAGAATGAATCATCGATTTTTCGCGTTACTTTTAAAATGTTTTGAAACCTATACATTGAAGAGAGAGAGAGAGAGAAAAAAAAAATAAAAAATCATGTTGGGTAATCCGAAAAAAAGATCAATAGATAATGTATTAAAGTTTTCGCACCATGATTTGATAATTTCAATGTCATCTATTTCGGGTACATCTTCGACTTTGATTAAATTTTTAATGAATAAATTCAGATGAATAATACGATATTTGAGTGACCAAACTAAAGCAATCAATAGAACAGCATCAGCGATAAAAAAATATAATGCATAAACTGTTACAAAACGCATAGTACGTAGCCAGGCTATAAGTTCAAGATCTTTATTTTCATCGGTTATTATCTCTACGGCGCTGTATATCAAATAGCCATAGTAAAAAAGAAGCAATGCGGCCAATACATATGAAATGGAAGTTAATAAATAGAATTTCCATCGATTCCATTTTAAACGGAAACAACTTCGTGCCAGCAATGTTTGACAACGTTCATTGATTGGATTTAGATCGAGTAATTGTAGAACACGCTCGATTCGTTTTCGATTAAGCCATATTAAATCAAGACCAACAACGCCAGCCAACAAATATGAAAATATGAAAATATCTTCAATCAATTCGCTAGTCAAATGTTTACGGGAGAATAAATTGTACATAAGACGAATCAACCAAAACAAGACCATTGCGTGCGCCAAGATCGAAATGACAAATGTATAAATCTGACCATAAAAAAAATCAAACAAAGTATGGTAAGTAAACATACGAAAAAAATGATTGAAAATTGAAACAATATTTACTTTCATTAATTTTGAATTGACGCATGATTGTTTTTTACGATCAAAACAATAATTGAATGGACAGCCCACAAGAATATATGGAATCATGATGGAGAAAATCGTTTCATACAATCTAATCGACATATCAATACGATCCAAATCTTTATCATCATCACCGCTACTGATGGCGATTCGCATATTATCCGAAATCAAAGATCGATATTTTTCATCCATTAACGTTTGTGGTTTATTGACATCATCCGTTGATTTTGTTGTTGAATTTTTGGAACGATTTTTCATTTCATTACAATGGTTGATGTTCGTATCATCATTTGGTTGATTGGCAACTGGAGCCACTTTCATTTCCATTGATTCTGACATGATTACAAATTTGAAATCAATAATCGTAATGAAAAAAAAAACAGAAACTGAAAAAACGGTGTTTAAATCCGGATCGATGAATAGAATGAACGGAAACAAAATCTCAGCCGAATAAATGAGATTAAAATCGATTAGATTCAGCGACAATAAATATCGCTATACTATATATATGGCATTGTTTTGACAGAAAGCTGTATGAAGCTTGATGAGAATTCGAAAACAAAACAAATCTTTGGGCAACTCGCACATAAACGACGTTTTTCTTTTTTCGTATACATACATTGATGATGATTATCAACAACACCATGCATACACATGTGTTCAACAACAGTTACACCCTGACCACATGTCGAAACATTCTATTATTATATTGGTCGACAATGATGGATGATAAAACCAATGTAATGTAATGTAATGTTTTTTGTTTTTATTTCTTGTAAGCAATCTAACTGATTTTAAAGTCATTGGCATTGGCATTTAAACACATGTCAAATATTCCACAATAAAAATCATTGATAGATTAAACTAATAATAATAATAATAAAAAGGAATCGTATTGTATGACTTGCACAATCTAATTATATTTTATCGATGATGATGATGATGATGACGACGAAATATATTAGATATATCATTGGCCGGAAAGCATCATATACCACCAGTTGATCCATATCATCATTAGAAAAAGAATTTTGTTTTTTATTGCTTTTTCTAATATAATCTTCTATATATTTGTTAGGATTAACTTAATGGCAAAAATTAATTTGACCGATGTCATCAGTTTTTTTGTTGTTGTTGTTGTTGTTATTGTTATCATTAATTTGTTTCTCACGTCCTAATTATTCTTTAATTTAAATTGATTGAATAATACTGCAGAGAATTCACAATGAAAAAAAAATGATGAAAGCTTAAAATGAATGTTTTTTCATCATCATCATCATCAAAATAAAAGAATAAAATTAATTGAAAATCTAATACACAGAGAATTTTAATATTATTGTGCTAGGTATATATATAGTAGTAAATTTTGTTCATAAATTCATTTTGTTTGAAATGAAATTCAATTTCATTCCATTTGATGGCTATGATTAATATCAAGATTTGAAGACATTTTTTTTCAGTTTTTCGCTTGAATGATTGAGCTTTTTATAAATATAAATAAATGTTTTATTCTCTATCCAACTACTGTTTATCATTGCATTGTTAGTTGAAAATGGTGTATATTATATATATTATATATGGTTTATAAACTTTATGGCCTGTGGCCGATGAAAATGAAATTGACATTGACATGTGAGTATGTGATTTTACTAGAATGTTTTTTTTTTTTCTATTTTTATCATGGTTTGAATCATTTTTTTGTTTTGTTTGTTGAAGATGAATGGAAATGAAAACACAGACACCACACAGAATAATGTGTGGGCCAAGTTTTATTGTTGTTGTTGTTGTCAGATCTTTTTGAAGGCTTTTTTTTGGAATAACTACTACTTTTTTTCATTGTTTTTTTTTCCAAATTTATTTTTTTTTTATAATAGAATGTTTAATCATTCCAAAAATCATTGTTGATAATATAGTGACATCAAATTGAAATTTCATTCATTCATTCATTCATTCAAGCCAACCAAAAAAGAAGAATTTCACTTTTGAATAACACTAAAAATGATGACAACAATCGATCTATCGAAAAATCAAAAGTTATTGTTTCTGGTTTCCTTGGAACGAAAGAAAAAAAATCTACAATGGAAACGAACTATTGATAAGCGAAATTTTTTGAAAAAAATAACCATGCAAAACTTAACTGAATAGAAAAAAAATGTTGGAATTCAAAAAAACACACACACTGACAATAGCAACAGAATATGAAAAAGTTTCAAATCAAATTGGATTCAATATCATCAATTTTTCTTTTGATTCAAGAATCTTTAAACTTAAATCAAAAAAAAAAACCAAGGCTATTCGTCCGATTTATTGGAATTGATTACAATTATTATTATGTTGGCTCATTGTTGACCAAATATGATATCAATGATGGAAAAATGTCAAAAAAAACTCGATGAGAATTTATCTCATACCAATATATTTGCAATAAGGATTTCACCGTTATTTATTTATTTTTTTTCACTGCCTATTCTATCATTGTTCTTGACACATGTTTTTGTTTTTTTTGTAGTAAAAAAAAATTCCATTATATTTTTTCGGAATTTTTTTCGTTCAATTTTTTTTTTCATCGAAACAAAAATTACTTTCCATGAATTCTGTGATTCTCGAGAAATTTTTTTTTCTTTATAACATATTAGTAAAACTGATCGTTCATTCATCATTTGAATTCTATTTTTTTTTCTTAGGAAAAAACTTGTCCAATATTAGTTACAGAATTTGACATACTTTTTTCAAAAAAAAAAATCATATTGACGTAACATATTTCATCATGAACCATAGTAAATAGAAAAAATGTATGTATCCATTAACTCTTGATGAAAATTGTATCATGAACATGTGATCAATATATTTTTAATAAAAATAGCCACAAATTTTTTTTTTCGATGTTGTTGACAAGTTTGAAATACTGATCGAAATGAAATCGATCATCATACAATCATCGAATCCGATTGATCAACCCTCAAACAGAAGCAAACAGATTGGAAACATTGATCGGTTTTAATTTTTCGAAATAAAATCGATATAACTTGTATTATCTGTGTGTGGTGGTGGTGGTGGTTGGGGGAGGGAGAAATAGCAAGTTTTATATGATGTTTAAGCCAAATAAGTGTCGTTTTGAAATGAAATTCAGATAAAAATTGAATCCGAAAAAAAATGAAAGTTGACCACAACCCGCGGATTATATCAATGAAATCTGTGTGTGTGTGAGTTTAAAACAGCGTCTAGAATGTCAAAAATGAAAAAGGAAAAAAAATTTGACAATCGATATTAGATTCTTGGAATTTTTGCGTATCACAGATTCACTGAGGAAAAACATTATCCAAGTTCAAATTTTTGTTCTCTCAAGAGGGACAAAAATCATATGGAATCTTGAACTTCAAATGTAGAAAACTGAAATAAGAACTTTGTCATTATGTGCCTATCAATGATTTGGATTCCAAGTTATTGCAATGATAAATTTTAATGGATTTAAACTTATCATGGCTTGTTACTTCAGAATTCAGAACTACTAGACTGTTAAGTAATGATGAAAAAATACACTAATCATCATGAATGATGTATGAAAACATTCGAAAAAAACCATTTAGACATAGAATAAAACGCTAATATTTGTGTGAAAGAGAAAGAATGAGAAAATTTATCAAAACAAATGGATAAAAATGATTATTGATAAATCATTATCATCCAATATCAATGTGTGTGTGTGTGTGTAAGTAATTTTCATTTGAATAACAGGAAACAAAATCGAACAAAAAATCAATAATAATTGATTCAGTGAGCTTGATTTATCGGTGATAACAAGTGTGCTACCATTCTTTTTTTCAATTGATACTCAATGAAAATGTTGTTTCAGCATAATTTTTCATCACCTCAAGTCTTCTTTTTTTTCCCATTTATATTATCTCAGAATTATTATAGACCATTCCTAAAGATATATATAAAGAAAATATATGAAAAAAATTACATATTTTGATTGATGATGTGGATATTATCATCACTCGAAATAAGGGCCAACTAAAAAAAAAATCATCACCGTCAATGAAGTATGAATTGATTTTCAAATATAAATAGAAAAAAAAATTAGAAGCCACTTGACTCACAAAGACACTTGGACAAAAGCTCTTGAAACTAGGATTATTGGATTGGTGGTGGTGGTCATTTTTTTTTCTATAGTTTGACTATTCTGATCGATGAAGAAGAAAGTATTTTTTTTGTGTGTGTTTTTATGTGAGATTTCACATTAAGATAATACTCACGCTATTCATATATGATGATTTGTAGAAGAATATAAATTTTCTAATCAAGTTTCAATATAATCAATAGCAACTACAAGCTAATCAGAAAAAAACCGGACAAAATATCAAATTGATTGGATTTTATTTTACACAAAAAGGAATGGAAAATAAAGTTACAAATCCTATGTGACCAAATGACGGGAAAAAACAATCTCAACATTGTTCAATGTGGCGTTGTTGTTGTTGTTGTTGTTGATGACGATGATAACTTTAAATCTAAATCAAAACAAAAATGACAGAACTAAAAAAAAAAAAAAATAGAATGACATATAATCGAAATCAGTGGCTGAAAAAAAGAGAAAAATAAATATAGAATCGACCAGAAAAAAACAACACTGAATCTCAAATGAATTACAATCAATAATAGTAGTAATTTTTTTTTCGTTCCTAATTTATCATTCATTCAGTATTTATTTCCGTTTTTTTTTTGATTTCCAAAATTGAAACTTTGTGATTTCGATTTCGATTTTTTTTCTTTAATTAAAAGTCGATTAAAATCTCTTTCTTTCTTTTTTTCTTCTTATCACAATTTATTCATCTTATTAAGTCAATCAGTTTGGTTGGTAATTCTTTCATGTGTCAGCAATCACGATGGTTGGTTGGTTGGTTGGTTGATGGTGTTGGTGGTGGTGGTGGTTTTGTGATATAATTTAAACAAACAATTTATCATGCAGATTGATTAGCACACAGACAAAGACACATATATCATGATAAATACGTTCAGGAAGAAAAATCCCGTAGAGTGTTTGTGTGTGTGTGTGTATAAAAATAATTTCCGACCTTGTTAATGTTACTATACTCAATCAATGAAGCAATAAATTTATTACAAAAACATGGGATTTGATTTCTTGTCTTTTTTCTTAATAAAAACAAATCTCAAATCATTCACATATACACACACACACACATATATATATATATAGTAGCAAATTTTCAATGTTTTGCAAATCTGAAAATGTGATTCATGTTGTTACGTAACGATTAATGTGAAATGTTTGTTGAAACTTTTTCATTATTATTTCTTTCTTTTTTTCCCTTTGATTACTAAATCAAAATAAATTTAGTGAACCAAAAAAAAAAAAAATTATCATCATGTATTCAAAAAAAAAAAAACATGAATGGCCAAGGTAAATAAAAATCATTCATTGAATAACAGAATTCTGTTTTTTTTTGCAAAATCGAACCAAATACATAATATGTTTGTTTATAATTGATGACGGCTGTGATGAAAAAAAAAAACACGAATGTTATTGTATGATTCATTTGTGATGATGATAACGAAGAAGTAGTGAAGCAACAATGAAAAAAAAAATTTGTCCGCATACAAGCAAACGGTTTTATACAAGAGTGTGTGTGTGTGTGTGTGTATAGTGAAAGGAAAAAAAATGCCGAACAAAAAAAAATTCGCATAAATCCTCGTCACCAAAGAAAGGAAAAAAAAACGCCGTCATTGGACATGACTTGGGCTATTTATTTTCCAAAACATTCATGCATACATAGAGAAAAAAAAATTCGATTATCATATACAATGGTGGGTCCAAACACACACACACAGACACCGATAGTAACAATAGAATCCAAAAGAATCATTCTTTTGCTACAGTATAGGGTTATATCTAACACACACACACACACACACAGAATATAGAACAAATTGACGAACCAAAAAAAAACGAACGAATACATGAAGTTGATTTATAAGCATTCAATATATTTAGATTTGATTTTTATTTTATTTGGATTCCATCAAGAAGAAGAGAGAGAGAGAGAGAGAGAGAGATGAAAACGGAAATTAAGCCCAAAAATAGATGATTATTATTATTATATTATTATTATAATGATGGTGATGATGAAATTTTCAAATCGATAAATAAACTTTAACCATTAGAAAAGTGGAAATGAAATTTTTTCTTTTTGTCGTAATTTTATTTCATTTATTTCATTTTTAGCATTAGTATTTGGGTACTAAAATCAATTTTCATCTTCTATTGGTAGTAAGTGCCAAAAAAAATTCTGGTTTATATGTGGCTTACACAACATACATAATAAAGTACATAAAGATTATATTATATATATAATGAGATTTCGAATATGGAAGAATTGGATTTAATTAGGATTCAATGGATTTTTTTTTTTTTGGTCGTTTAGATTTTTTTATTTTTCTTTTTCTCTCAACAGGGTCATGACATTTTCGGCTATTGGTAGCCGATTTTCAACACAATTAGTATCTCGTTTGAAGTTGAAATATAATTTAAAGCATACAACAAATTTTCAAATGATCCTGGACTTGCATTACCAATTTTATATAATGGTGATGATGAAGTATAAAATTGAGAAAATTAAAAAGATGAATTTCGCTTCTCGTAATACAATTGTATTGTTTCATTTTTATTCACTCACTTCTCATTCACTCTTATTCCATTATTATATTATATTCCATTTAAGATAAAAAAAAATTATAAGAGAATGGAGATAACAAAAAAGATGCATGTATGTAAAGAGAGAATACATGCTTGCCAATTGGATTTTCTTCTATAATTTTTTCCTCTCGTTTTTTTTCTTTTCACATTTTTGTTTAGATTTCAAGGCAAATAAAAAACCCTTGTAAGTAGAATAATGTTGAAATAAAGATGAGATAATAAGAATCCAAACTACAACAACAACAACAACAAAAACAATAATCCAGTAATTCCAAACGAGTGAATAGATTTTTTTTCTTCTTCATTTTTTTCCCCGTACACTATTTGTGTTTGTGTATTAAGCTGTGTCTGTGTTATATGTTTTTTTTTCTCTGTTTCTGGAACAAATAATCATATCTTGGGTCATGTTAAGCTGAAATAACAGAGTGGAAATAAGAAGAAGATAAAGTGAGAATGGAAAAAAAAAAAAGTTTTCATTGATTTGAAGTTTACATACATTGTTTGACATGTTTAAGCCAATGAGAATTTTTTCTTTCTTTCTTTCTTTTCAATTTTTTTTTTCACTGATCAGGTTTTGGTTATGTGCGCATAAAGCATGTGATAGATTCATGAATGAATGTAAATATAAATGTGAAATCGAAACAAAATAGACATTTAGGATTATTAAATTTGAAATTAAACCAGATATATAGAACGAAAGATGGAAAAAAAACGATACAAAATGATATTCTAAACTGTGGTGACAATCCGTGAATTTCAATTTCACATAAACAATTTTTTTTTCTATTCTCGATTTCGATATTGTCGATGATGACAAACTTGTCATTATTTGTTTTTTTTTGGCTCTAAATCCCCTCACTCTTTTCTTTTTGGTCCTGTCATTTTCATAGTTGTCCTATTCGAAAACTTGTCAACGTCAATATCATCACCATCATCATCATCATCATCATTGTTCTAGTTCCATTGGGATAGTTTTATTCTGTATTATTTGTTCTCTTACTTCGAAATCATCATCCGAAATTAATGGAGTAAAGTATTGACAATAAAACAAAATAAATAAACTGTTTGTTAGTATGGATGATATTTTGTTGTATATTTTCCATTAGAATTTGAATATGTAATTTTTCATTCTGTTTTGTTTTTATTAGATGCAAAAAAAATAAATTGTGCAAAAAAATAGTTTGTCTGGATGTTGTCCCGATAATAATTTTTTTTTCGAACGTTTCCGTTTGTAATAAATTAATAATATCGATATTCTTTTTATCGCTTGTCAAATAATATATCGATGTTTGATGTTCCAATGTTAATAGGAAAAAGATTGCAAAAAACAAAAATCTTCTTGTTTCACATAATCATCATGATCATTGATTTGCATGGTGAAAAATTTTGTTTTTGTAGTTCAGATCATCAACTACGTTTCGAATCCATGGAAACCTATTCTAAAGATTTTTTTTTTTTGAATGATTTGAAGAAAAATAAATGAAAAAACTTGTATTAGATATGCATGGAATCAAAAAACAAAACACACACACACACAAATCAATCTATGAGGGAAAAAAATGAAATATCAACATTTTTATTCATATTGTTTGTTCATAAATTTATTATATATACAAATAATGATGATAATGTAGGAAAAAATATTTGTACACTTTGAAGATGTTATGCATGTGTGTGATGGAGGTAATGGAATAGAAAAAAAAATTGCAAAAAAAAAACACATCATGATGACCATTGGTAATTTACATCAGAAACAATATATATTTGTAATATTTGAATGTCAATAATGATGATGATAATGATAAAATATGAGAAAAAGAGTGTGGTAGAAAAAAAATGTAACCAAAATGCATTCATATTGTTAATAATAATAATAAAGAAACCGAGTACAAGCCACAATATAACATTAAAACACAAACATTCCATTATCAGCTATCCATTATCGTTGTCTAGTATTTGTCAATTATTTGATTGGAATTTATATTTTCATTCAATATATACACAAGTTTTATTTCTTTTTATCCATCTATTTTGGTAGCCTATATATTCATTAATTTTGTGGATGGCCAAATGTTTTTATGTGTGTGTGTGTGTGTGTGTATGTTCTGTAAAAATATTTATACATTTCATCGAAATCATCATTTTGTGGATAACAGCAACATAATATCACAATAATCATCATCAAATTCTGATTCTGATAATAATCATTCTATTCATTTTGACAAAATATTATCATCATTTTTGAAATGAATGATTCAAAGAAAATTAATTACCATTCTATTAGACCATTGTTTCTTTTGGTCTATCATCGTTATCATCTTCGTTTTGGTTATTATTATTATTATCGCTGTTAGTATCAATTTTATTGTTTATCAATTGACTGTTACCATTTTTCGAATTGATTGTAATCATTATTCTGTTTGTATCCTGTTTATTATGATCATCAACATCATCAATATTGGTGACCATTTTTGTCATCATGTTACTACTATTATTGTTGTTGTTGTTGTTTTTGCTGTTGTTATTGGTAAAACTATTATTGTCATTATTACTATTAATTCGATTTGAATTATCATTATATGGGTATGATTTTAATGTTGTCTGGCTTTCACTATCATTGTTACTATTATTATTATTTGGATTCGTTTTTGTTGTTGATAATGAAATAATGTTCATATTGGATTTTTTTGATCCATCTATCCTGGAAATTGTTGATGGTTTTGATTGTAAGGCTATCGTATTGTTAATAATGGCCTTTCGATGATGCTGATGAAATATTTTTCATCCTTGTTAATGTTGTTGCCGTTGCTGTGTTTGATGAGGATAATGTTGTTGTTGTTGTTGTGGTGTTTGTTGTTGTTGACGTAGTTGTAGCTGTTGAAATGAAAGGATTCAATGATGATGATCTAGCCGTTAAACGAATTGTAAATAAATTCTTTAGAAACATTTGCTGAAATGTTTCACGAAATGCTCGAGACATTCCACAATAGATAGCGAAATTTAAAGGGTATGATATAATAATGAAAAAATTGGAGAATATAATTGTCATTGAAAGAAAACGATCGGATACAATATCAACGGTAAACATATTCTCTGTAACATGTATAGCAGTTGCAACAGCCAATGGTATTTCAACAATCAAAAATACAGTTACAACTACAATCAACATAACAGTAGTTGAATTAGCATCACGTCCACGATTAGCTTTTCGTTGTTGTTGATGGTCATCAGATTGTTGTTGTTGTTGTTGTTGTTTATTCCAACCAGATGAGCCATTTCGTTGTTCAGTAGATTGTTGTTTATTAAGTAGTTTATTTCTTGTTTTTTCGGCACGTTTTAATGCATTATATAATAGAACATTGAATATTACTAATAGAAAACAAGGTCCAATATGAACAAAAACGATACGAAAAACAAAATATGTTCCAAAATATAAATTCTCTATAGATGTCGTCCATTTTGCTATCACTTGACGGCATGCTTTTTGTGGTTCATTGTTTATCATTGATTCATTGTTTGTATTCATTATAATAGAATTATCGTCCATTATTGTTGGCATTATTCCTACATCACCATCATTGAAAATCGATTTATGAGATGATGATGATAGTGATGATGGCGGCGACGACGACGACGGCGGCGGCGGTTGAGACGACGATGATATCATAACTATAGCATCAATCCAATGGCCTTCAAAAAAACGCAACAGCTGATGGACGGATGCCAATAAAAATATGGCCAATATGGTACGTGTGACGCGTTGATTTGTACACCAAACTTTGGCCAATGTTGGGTGGCATATGTAAACATATCTGTAAATTAATTGTGTATTTCATTTAAATTAGGATAATTATTCAAATATATACATTATATTTCACATAATATTTGTAATTAAAATAATAATCTAATATAATTAGGGCCTATTACCATTATTATAATAATGGATTTTTATCAAAATGGATCAAAAAAAAAACAAACAAACAAACAACAACAACAACAAAAAAATTCATATCTTTCAAATACAAACCTCTGGCAGGCTAATAATAATGTACACCAAATTGATGCTGTATGGAAGAATGTTGGTAGAATTTCACTCATTACATGATAAAGATTACATGATAATGCTGGATATAGTAGAAATTTATAATAACCCAATGTATACATATAAAAATACCATGGTACAGGAAATATTAATGTTAATAGATCAGCAACAGCCATCGATAATAATACAAGATTTGTTGGTGAACGCATTGTTGGTCGTGATAATACTAGAACGATCAATATATTTGCGGCCAATGTTATTAGAAAAAATATTGGTGTTATATAACCAAACAATACAACACGATAATATGCTTCAGGATCGGCACTTATATCTAACAGATTGCCCTGAATTGGTCCATAATTATTATTATGAATATAAAAGTGTCGATCCGGTCCATAAATAAATCGAAATGTAATGATAATAAAATATCGACAACAACAACAAAATTATGATGATGATGATGGTGGTGGTGGTGGTATGATGTGTTGCAAATAAAAAATGAAATTCGAAGAAAAAAAAGCCAAATGAATATTACATAAAAAACAGAGGGGAATGGGAGAAAAATAAATGATCAGAAAAGATTAATTGGCAATATAGTATCATTAAAACAAAACAAAAAACAATATATTGTTTATGCGTTTGGCATAAAATCGATAAAATAAACGCAATTTAAGACATATATATACAAACACATCTATACCAGAAAAAAAAAAAAATGATCGATCGTAATGGAAATGGAAAATAAAAAAGAACAGAAATCAACATATATTCATTTTTTATAACTGAAATGAGTAAAAAAAAAAAAAATTCCACATTCATTATACAAGTTCAAGTGTTTCAATGAATGAAACACATTCTTGTTTTCATTTTTTTTTCTGGATAACTACAATTAACGGCAAAAAGCCTCCGGAAATAAAATTCAAATGCAATCAAACGATTGACACACGCATACACAAAAACAGTGGTGAACAAACATTGACTTTCTCTATATAACAATAAACATCGTTAATGATGCTCATAATTAATATTATCATACTGAAGCAGACATATGCCCCGAAAAAAAGGGATGTCTTTTAACAAAAAAATCTGAATAAACATTAATGTGACGATAAAAAAAATTCCATGTAAAAACAAACTGAATTCATTGGAAATGAAAAAAAAATTGAAATTCGATGATTATATAAATACAACAGCAGAAAAAAATACAGATACTCATAACTTTCTCACTTTCTTATTGTTTTCTATATTTTTTTTTTTCCTGTAAGGTATATATATAGGTGTTTTTTTGTTTTGTTTCGAATAATACAAAATTGAAATGTGTTTACAATAACACAAAATGATTATATATGATTCTTGATCATAATAAACATCATTAGAATCGAAACTAACAATGGATTCTGATTTTGTTTATTTATTATTATTCTTTTTTCCGTACAATGATCATTTATTATTATTATTATTTTGTCTCCTTTTTTTCTGTCTATTTCTCTCATATATTGCAACCATAAAAATAACAGAAAAAAAAGACTGACCTCAAAATGACTATTGTAATCATTATCGTTCACAGTCATTTGGATGATGTTCGTTGTAGAAATTGTTGTTGTAGCCATTTTGTTATTATTATTATTATTGATTGTTTCAGAATGGTTGGCAGGCATGATTAATATATCTATTCATTATAGATGAACAAATAGCAACAATTAGTGATGATGATGATGAACACATGAACAAAAAGTAATGTAGAATATTTTAAAGATTTTTTCCATTGTTATACTTTAAACAGTGATGATGATGAGTGAATGAATAATTTGAATGGAATAACAAGAAAAAAAAAAGTTGAATGTTTTTATTATTTCACCAAAGCAACAGTAAATAAATATGTGGTAATGGCCACAAGAAAAGAAAAACACTAGAATATTCAATCGAGAAAAAAATTGCAATGATGATGATGATGATAAAATGGATTTTACAATTTCGTTTGAATTCTATGCCTGTTTTTTATCACACAAACATAGATGATATATACACGCACATACCATTCACAAAAACCAGATATTTGCAAATTGTTGTTGTTCTTTGGTGAGAATGTTTTACCAACGGAAGAGCAACAGAATTTTCATTTTATTTATTTTTTCACTGTTCACTGGTTCACAATATTTACAAAAGGCTAATTCAACCAAATAAACCCAAAAAAGAATGAATGAAAAGTGTAAAGAGAGAAAGAGAAAAAAAATGAATAAAGAAAAACCGTTTTTCTTTTTCTCAATCTTTCTTTCTCACATATATACACCCGATTTTTAGCCACCCAAATACATGTGCGTGTTCAGACATATGAATCAAATTGAATCCAAATTAAATACATACATTTCAATGACGATGATGATGAGAATCAGCAAAAAAAAAACTGAGCTTTTGGGTAAACAAAAATATGTGTGGGGCACACACACACACACAAACACACTCTATGGAATATTATTTGGCCATACGTCCGATTCTTTTAGAATCTAAACTGGTGATCATGATCATGATCATCACCGCATAGTCATCATCATCATCATCATCATGATACATCCGAAAAAGCAAGATGGACGAAAATAGAGAAAGAAAGGAAAAAAAAATCCAAACTTAATTTAAATTGAAAACGCAAAAGTGCACTGTAAACACACACACACACACAAACCCCAAACACCCATAAGTGAAAGCAACAAAGTAACCATCAAATTGAATGGAAAAAATTGCCTTACTTATGATGATGATGATGATGATGTGAAAATCCTTTTTTCTTCCACACGTTCACTCAATGATGTTGTTCAATTTGAGTTTTTTTTTAGTTTCATTTCATTTCCATTTATTTTTTTTTTCCTCTTCGGATACATCAAACAAAATATTTATTGGAAACAAACAAACCAAAAAAAAAAAAAAACGGTCATATCATTTTCATCGGTCTGTTGATTTTTAGGAAAAAAAAATTCTGGATTTTCAGTTGAATTCTGGGCGTTCAAGTGTATAATAAGTGTATGTGTTTTTATTTTGAAATGTGAATGAATCTGTTTTTCTTTGTTATCATTTCAAACTATAATTCTTTTAAATTGGATGAACAAAATTTTCAATGATTCTGTTTAGATGAAATTCTTTTTCATAATTTATCGCCGTCGTTGTTGTTGTTGTTTGATTACAATATGGCTTCCTGTTTAATATAAAGATTGTTCGTGTTTGTGATTGATGGTCAAAAATTATAATTCAATGTGTTTGATGTTTAGATTTTTTTTTTTTAATTTTGTAGAATCACTTCAAATACACACAAAATGATTTGAAGTACAAATATTTTATGAAACTAAACAAAAAAAAATGTCAAAAAATTTTTCAACAATAATTTTTCACTTAAAAACTATTGAACAAATATTGCGGTTTTTTAAGCACTTTTTTCCGGTTCAATGATGATGATGATGATGATGATTGTGATGGTGGCTACCAATATAATCGATCAACAAACAATCGATAAAAAATTCGGTCAAATTATTTGGTTCTGATCTTTTTTTTTTTTTTTTTTTGATCATTTGTGATTATCGTTCTTGATGTTTCGTATATGAAAAAAAAGAATCAGAATAAGCACAACAAAAACAATAGAAATAGAAAATGTTAAAAAACATTTTTCATTTCAAACTTTTCGCCCTTTTTATACTAACAGAATGTTGTTGGAAATCAGTGATTGTTTCAGTACAATCAATATGGTTGGTTTTTTTTTGTTGATGCTAGAACATTGCTGCTGTTCTGAAATATTTTTATTTCAGAGAGAGTGCGGGATTCAATATATTATATATATATATGCGCGTATTAGAATCTTGAAGGAATGTACAATACGAATTTTTTTTTCTGTGATGAAAATAATGATGAAGTAAAAATATCGTTATATCAAGAATATGAGTCATGCGCACGATGAATATATATCAAAAGGATACCGGCCGTATTTTTTCATCTTATGTTATGTTTTGTTTTGTTGTTTTTTTTATCTATAGTTTGAATCTCAATAACAGATATACATTTCAGAGAATTATACACTTGAATTCATAAATGTAATATATAAAAAGAAATCCCTCCTTATATTATCCCAAAAGAACATTGTCACAGGATTCAAATTACTTATATAACAATTTAAACAATCATTTTACCAAAACAATTCTATCTTCCTATCTGACATGTCATGATCTTTATTTTTTTTATAGTCATTGTTCCTGGAATTTGGTTGTTGATCATCATCATCATCATCATCATTAACATTGTTGATCTGATTCTCAAGATTGTTATGTCATGTTCAACAAACCATAAAAAGAGAAGAAATTTGATATGGAAAAAAATCGTTCAAATAGAAAAGAAGAATTTTTTCATTTTAATTCTGTAGTATAGAGAGAGAGAGAGGATTTATTTCCTGATTTAGAATTGTTTTGTATAATGTTTATTACTTCAAGATTTGAAACGGAACTAGTATTCAATGCCACAGTTATTTGCTTAAGGCTATTGGCCATTTTTTTCCATTATATCTGTGATGTCTAAGATGAATTCTTTTATTTATTTCATTTATATTTTAATTTTCAAAACTTTTTTTTCTGTTCTCTTATCACATCAAACACTTTATGTGTTATGTACATTATGAACTTTGATGTTTACAAGTACATTATTCTGGAAAGAACAATAGAATAGAATAAAATTTGAACAGCTAATTGGTGAAAAAACAAAACTTTGAATCTTTTTTCATTCAATTTCCTACTTTATTCGTAGAATTTTTATCATCGAAAGAATCTGTTCAACATTTTATTTGTTCCAAAAAAAAATAAAATTTCCACTCAACAAGAGCAACAACCACTAAGAAATTGTAATAGCCAAGTACATTTGAATGAGATCAAATTGCACATATTGCTACTATTTGAATACGGAAACCAATGTAAAAGGACAGTTTTCGTTAATTCTTTTCAAAAGATGAGAGTAAAAAATATTAAAAAAAAAAACAAACTGTAAGATAAAAATTCTGTTTTTCTATGAAAAAAAAAAAGATTTTCGTTACCTTTTCTTTCTTTTTTTCATTCATTCTGGATTCTGGACAGGAAAACATCATTTGACGTTTACACACCCACACACATGCACACACACACACACACATGTCATCAATGTTTGTTTATAACGTACCAATATATGAAACGTGACCTAATCTTATTATTATTATTATTATTTTTTTTTGTATACAATCATGCTTTCTATTTTTTATTTCATTTGACATTGTTGAACAATACAGGAGTTAGATTTCAATTTTGTTATGTATATACACTCATACCCCGCTTAACGCTGCCCCGTTTAGCGCTGATTCGATATAACGCTGTATAATTACCCTACATTGCATTACATTGTTACATTGTATATGAAGGGTAAAAATGCATTATGTAAAGATAGCCCTGCTTAGCGCTGTTTCGCTTAACGCTCAGAATTTTTGTTATGTATATACATTTATATTGTCACTACCACCAACTGGTTCCGATTTTTTTTCTCTCTCTCTCTCTCTCTCTCTCTCTTTCTCACCTTTGTTTAGTGTATTTTTATTATTTGATTCGAATCCAAGAAAATGAATCCATTGATCCTTGATATCGTGGCCAGTTGATTTTTGTTTTTTTTTTTTTTTTATTGGTCACCTTGAAAAAATTATTATTGTTGACAGTTTATTAAATTGTTTGCCATAGTGAAATGGAATGATCTGACCTCTATCGGTTGCCTTGGTTGATTTGTGATTAAGAAAAAAAAAGTGGAGAACAAATGTCTCTTGTGTCACTAATTCAGATCAATTATATAATTATTATTCAAGAAAAATCAATGAACGTAAAATTTTTTTTTTTTTTTTTTTTTGCCACCATTTTTCATACAGATAGATAGATACGAAACACCAACAAATGACTACGTATCACATTTATCTGTCATTAGCGTTTTATTTTCCAACTTTTTTCATTAGTCGTTTTTTTTTTGCTATTCAATTTCATGCCACCTGGATATGTAAGTTTTAGCAAATTATTTTTGTAACAAATGATAAATGATCGTTTCAATTTTCAGGTGCTGAATTTTATTCAGTTTTTGAAAACGATTCTATATATAGACATCTTTATTATCATCATTATAATTGCAATTGACAATATAAGAATATTAATTACAAATGTAAATTTTAACGTCTGGTCCTTATGGAATTATAAATCATACGAGGATCATCATTATCAACACCAATGCATCAACCAAAAAAAAAAAAAATTCCCTTTTTGATTCAATGATATTTTGAATTTTTGATTTGCATAGTTTCACCAATGAGTATAACTATTCCAAATGTGTAAATGAATTGATTCAATGATTTTGGAATAAGAATATTTTTGGCAAACAATCATTGATAAAATGTCATTGCCAGACTATATTGGATAGCAGTGAAAGAAGTGTTTCAAAAATGAATGAAAAATTTCCATGTCATCATCATCATCATCATCAACATCAACATTATTATCAACAATAGCTTCCCATTTATCCTCCTACTCTTCATCTTCATCATCATCATCATCATCATTTTTTATTCTTCATCCAGTGAACGAAGACTATCAAAGAATATCGTAACGACAAATATACAAACAAAAAACTATTTTCAAACAAATCCATTGTCATCGAGTAAACTTTATCATTGTCATCATTCACATCGAAGTTATTATTTTCATTGTTGTTGTTGTTGTTATTGTTGTTTGTCAAAAGTTTCCACAAGTAATTTGTTCAAGTCCAAACTTCAACATGAACAAATACGACATTATTCGTATTATAATTTGCTGTTACATCATGCATGGCATTCATGTTTATGGTTAATTTGTTTAATAGAATTTGCAAATATTTTTACCACTACTTTGGCCAACGATAATGTTCAACACCATTTTCATCATAGACCACCCATTTTGATTGACTCAAATCCACTATTTCCATTGTATTTGGAATCAAATAGAGCCAGACATTTGTTCAGTCATGATGATGACCATTTTCATCATCACCATCATCATCATTATCATCCAAGTAAAATTCGTCAATTTCCGATAGCCATAATGCGAAATTCATTGCCTAATAATTCCAATTCAAAACGTCGATATGACCAACAACACTATCACACCCGTCATCGATACCATAATCATC